CTGACCGCAAACTTTTGAACAGTAGAACATTTTTCATGTTAATATATTTTAAAATGTAATTCATGTCTGTGATGGCAAACCCTAATCTTAATTAAAAAATTTAAGTAATCAACTTGGATGTTTAAGTCATTCCAACTTAAATTACATTCAACCGACTTAAAAAATGTAATCTTGTATAACTTATGAAAAAAGCTGAAAATTGCTTTACTTATTTTGATGAGTTAAAGCAATGTAAAAACTTATGTTGTCATAACTTATTGATCATATAATTTTTTTACAGTGTATATTTTAATTATTTCAACCAACCAATCAAAAAATATTTTAGAGTTATTGTTCTAGTCCAACTGTAATCAAACTTTTAAAGTGCATGAGGACACAACTTCTCAAAAAAGTTTCTCAAGACCACATACTTAGCAGACCTCCTTTGAACTTCCCTCAATCCACTCAAAAGATGCGAGATGCTCACATCAGATGTGTCCTGTGTGTTTCAGCTGCTCTGCGATGATGTCACGGGTCTAAAGTTCAACCCCGTCCTCTACCCTAGGGTGAGCATCTCTCTGTTTCTCACTCCATCTGTGACTTACCTACTCCAGGCGTCAGGGTGAAATAGGGCTGCGCTTTGCTCCGTCTCACCCTAGTACCCAAGTCATCTGAATTAAAATGTTCCCATGCTCCAGGGGACTCACAAATCCATCTGCTTTACACTGCCTGGCGTGCCTGAACCACATAGAGTGTTTGAGAGAAGGCTTGAGAGAGGCCATCTCAAGGCTTTGCATGGCAAAACACAAACGCCTGAATTATGGAAAGGCACTGACACACATATTTACCCCTGCGGGCGCTTTTGCTCACTTTTTGTTTTCTCCCTCCCAAGGCCTCGCAACTGATCGTCAGTTTTGATGAGCACGAATTGAACAACACTTTCAAGTTTGGAGTCATCTATCAGAAGTTTGGTCAGGTGAGAGTCGTCTTGAGTAGGTTTCTTCATTTTATTTAGGCCTATTTCCACTGAATGTTTTCCGGTTTTTTCATTGCTTTTGTCTTTTCACATCAGACATCAGAGGAAGAGCTGTTCGGCAACAATGAGGAGACGCCTGCCTTTGCTGAATTCCTCAGTGTTTTAGGAGACAATATTGAACTGCAGGATTTTAAAGGGTGAGAGACGGAGATTAGACTCTGAAAACTGCCGCCAGGGGTCACCTACACGCACAAAAGGCCCGTTTTAATATTAAACAATAATCATTCACCTACACGCACAAAAGGCCCGTTTTAATATTAAACAATAATCATAGAGTTCATTTGTGAATAATTTAGTTCACCCATTGTGTGTGATTTTGACTGTAAATCTGGGCAGAGTAATCTGACTGATCTGCCTAAGCATCCGCAGAGCTAATTTGTCTGGTGATATTGTGCCGCTTAGCTTCAGAGGCGGTCTGGATGTGTCTCATGGACAGACGGGATCTGAGTCCGTCTATACTACGTTCCGTCAGAGAGAAATCATGTTTCACGTTTCCACAAAGCTTCCCTTCACAGAAGGAGACATTCAGCAGGTAGGCTACACAAATCCAGATTTTAGTTTGTTGTTGTTGTTTTGTCTTTTTTCTAAATATTTTTCTCTTGGGTCATATTCTCTCAGCTCCAGAGGAAGAGACATATTGGCAATGACATTGTCGCAGCCGTCTTCCAGGAAGGGCCCACGCCATTCGTACCTGATATGATCGCTTCCAACTTCCTTCATGCCTACGTGTTAGTGCAGGCAGAAAACCCCTGTACGGATCATACCGTGTACAAGGTTTGCCAAACACCTCACTGAATTACTCCAGATAGCCATCAATCCCTGAACCAACACTGATCTGAGATATTGATCTGTGTTCACAGGTGTCCGTCACTGCGCGAGAGGATGTCCCTCCGTTCGGCCCCCCTCTTCCAAACCCTTCAGTCTTTAAGAAGGTAATATAGAAGGTTGCTTCAATTAAATATTGCATAAAGAGATGATGATTTGTATCATATGATGATGGAGATCAATTCTTCCCCAGGGTCCCGAGTTCCGGGAATTTCTCCTGGCAAAATTGATCAATGCAGAAAATGCATGCTACAAGTCAGACAAGTTCGCCAAGCTAGAGGTGAGGAAAGAAAATCCAGAGATCAACATATCACCCGCCTATGGACGCTTGTTTCCACCACGGAATAAAATCTCAACTTTTTAGCGAGTTTATATTTCACAGTTCAGATTTGTTTTCCCTGACATTCTGTCATTATTTACTAATGCTGTCATTGAGTTACCATTTCCAGGAGAACTATCTCTTTAATTAGTTGATCTGGTTCATTGTCTATTTGTGTGTGTTTGACAGGAGAGGACACGGGCAGCACTGTTAGATAACCTTCACGATGAATTGCACAGACAGACACAGGCCACAGTAGGACTGGGCTCAGCTTCAGATGAAGAAAAGCTAGAAAATGGAGGCCATGGTGGGCTGCTGGAGTCTTTTAAGGTGAGATGTCTTATCCCGAATTCCACTTGACCCCTTGAAGTCTCAGAGAACCTTAAGATTCGTTTTACAGAATGATGTTGCACGTTGAATTTTTTTCTGTATGGAGAAATATTCTCAATTCCTTTAAAAAAGAAATATATATATATATAATATATTCTCAAATATTACCATTTCAAATTTGGGGGTCAGTAAGATTTGACTTTTATTCAGCAAGGATGCATTAAACTCAGCAAAGACGTTTATAATGTTACAAAATATTTATATGTATAAATGTTGTTTGTGTTTTACTCTCCATTCATTAAATAATCCTTAAGTAGCACGGTTACCACAAAAATATTAAACAGCAACTGTTTTCATCATTTATGATAAAAAGAAATGTTCCTTGCGCACCAAATTAGCACATTAGCATTATTTCTGAAGGATCATGTGACACTGAAAACTGAATTAATGATGCTGAAAATTCAGCTTTGTCATCACAGGAAGAAATTAAAATTTTAAATAAATTAAGTTGTTGTAATATATTTCACATTATTATTGTTTTACTGTATTGTTGATCAAATAAATGCAGCCTTGGTGAACATAATTTTTTTCCCCAAAACATTACCGACCCTAAACTTTCGAATGGTAGTATATGTATACCCACAGTTGATGTCTCCCACTGAATGTAATTTTTATGTAAGACAATGTGCTTGTCTGTCTTGATCGGTCTTGTCTGCATGTCATTCTGTCTGTCTAGATATTAAAATGCATGAAACTCAGCTGTTTTGAACTTCTACGCTCTCATTATAAGTCCTAATTGTGTGTTAGTGACCATATGCACGATTTTGCCGTGTGTGGGTGTTTACAGGCAGGGTGGAGGTGTGTGTGGGGCAGTTTGCAGACACACGCATATCCAGCAGGTCTGATCTGCGTAGCAGCTGTGACTGTGTATCATTACCAAGCCGAACTGGTGTAGATGACCAGTTCACATTAAATAATACATTAAACATGTATATAACAACACAAGACTCTTAGATTTCTCTGTAGGTTGTTTGTACTTTTGTGCAAGTTTTTATTGGTTTGGTTAATTTACATACTAAAAATATTAATTGTTTGTATACATTTTTATGAGATTTTTTATTAATATTTTATTTTAGTAGTTTTAATATATATAATATATATCATAACATATATAACATATATATATTATAATATACAATTTTATAATATTATATTATAATATATTTATGTTATAAATGTTATATAATATATATATATATATATATATATATATATTATAATATATTATAATATTAAGTAAATTATATATTTTGTATGTATAATATAATTGTATGTCACGAAATAAAATATACAAATATAATATATAAACAAAATATATTCTTAGAGATGTTTTTTGTGGAAAGTTTATTAAATCACAAAAAAGTATATAAATGTAATATAAAAAATACATATATAAATGAAACGCTAAAGATTGGAGTAGACTGTGTTTTCTACCATTTAACTTTTGGCATTAGTATAAGTTAGTGTTTAGCTCCACCTACTGGCTTTTCATGGAAATACAATTCAGTTTTCCTTACTTCATCATTATTAGGGCTGATATAAACAAATAAATCATTTAAATTAAATGCATTATTAGCCAATTAATATAAACAATGCACATATAAGCCTTAAGAATATTCTGTGACGAGATAATCTTTGACAACTTCATGTTTTCTCATCATTTTCCTTTAAAAAAAGTATTGTACTTAATACAGTTTCTACGTTCAGGTTCGTTCTCTGTCCTTCTCTTACCCTCTTCTCCTGTTTCTTTCTCTCTGTCAGAGGGCCATGCGTGTGAGGAGCCACTCCATGGAGACGATGGTGACTCATAAACACAAGAGTCCAGGAGCCGTGGCGGGGGTCCCGTCCAGCGTCAGCGGTGGAGGACTCCAGCAGAACAGCATGGAGTGCACCAAGAGCACCTTCACTGTACGCATATTCTCCTACATTCATTTATTCACAGGAAATTCTTATCTTATCAAGTGTATTCTGATAAGTCACTTATTATTATTGGGGTGCAGCAGTGCATGAGCTTGATGCTTTATTTGTGTGTTTGTGTTTGTCAGCCTCCAGTGCTCTCTGCAAAGTCTCCGTTAAAGAGTCCTGTAAAGCGGCGCTCTGGTTTGTTCCCCAGACTGCACTCCAGCACAGAAAGTCCAACTGAGAAACATCCAACTCGCGGGTACTCAACAAACACATAATTTTATATATAATACTCACGCTGATGTGCAAAAATCTGATTCTATATACAAAGATGATCACTGCGACTGCGTCCCAATACGCCTACTTATACTATGCCCTAAAAGTAAGTACTGTTTTTGTGGAGAAAAAGTACATACTTTTGAGTGTGTCATATTGTCACAGTTAACATCCTCCACATTTTTTTTTCATTTTATATTGAGGAGAAATGTAGTAGCATGTTGATTTGCCAGTCGTGGGACTTTCATGCGGAGAACTCTTCTCGTGTGTTTTGGGTTTTAACACTTTTTCCGTGTTTGTAGTTCTAATCGAATCTTCGGCCAGGTGTGATGGGTTGTGGGTAATATTAGCTGTTAGAGTGTTCACGGATCCGTACTCTGTACACAAATAGTAGAACATCTGGGTACCTTTGGGATACTAGGTAGCCTACAATTTTGAATACTATCTAGGATGGATGGTATGTAAATTGGGACTTAGCAAATGTAGCTCACAATGTTACACTTGTGTGTCTGTGTATGCTACATTTGTACATTAGTATTTCAGAAAAACACTACATAAACTGTTTTCTCTGTTTTCATAGTGACCAAAAAACAGAAGTATTCCCTCACTCACAGGAAGTGAGGTCAGAGACGTTGTCCAATCCGAGTTCACCAGAGATCTGCCCAAACAAAGAAAGGTGGGTCTTTGTGCTGTTTCTAAGTTCCAGTTCCTCATGTAGCCACAGCTGATTTAAATGCAATGTTGGGATGTTTTGGCCTTTGATGACACCGAAATGCTGTTTTAAATGCTTTTCCAGCACATTTTCTTTAGCAAAGTCCTGTTTATTTCATAGTTCTTCAGCAAAAAAAGAATTTTGGATTTCTGTTGTGTGATCTCTGTCCTGCTGGTTTGGTCCTGCAGGCCATTCGTGAAGCTGAAAGAGTGTAGCGGCAGAGCTAATATCTCCCGATCCTCCTCCAGCACCAGCAGCTTTAGCAGCACAGCGGGGGATGGAGACGGACTGGAGGAGCTGGAAATGGTGACACACACACACACACACACACACACACACAGACACAGACAAAAACAGTTCTGTTGACCTTTCAGGAGATTCAAAAGATGCACACACACTCACACACACATACACTCACCTAAAGGATTATTAGGAACACCATACTAATACTGTGTTTGACCCCTTTCGCTTCAGAACTGCCTTAATTCTACGTGGCATTGATTCAACAAGGTGCTCAAAGCATTCTTTAGCAATGTTGGCCCATATTGATAGGATAGCATCTTGCAGTTGATGGAGATTTGTGGGATGCACATCCAGGGCACGAAGCTCCCGTTCCACCACATCCCAAAGATGCGCTATTGGGTTGAGATCTGGTGACTGTGGGGGCCATTTTAGTACAGTGAACTCATTGTCATGTTCAAGAAACCAATTTGAAATGATTCGAGCTTTGTGACATGGTTCATTATCCTGCTGGAAGTAGCCATCAGAGGATGGGTACATGGTGGCCATAAAGGGATGGACATGGTCAGAAACAATGCTCAGGTAGGCCGTGGCATTTAAACGATGCCCACTGCACTAAGGGGCCTAAAGTGTGCCAAGAAAACATCCCCCACACCATTACACCACCACCACCAGCCTGCACAGTGGTAACAAGGCATGATGGATCCATGTTCTCATTCTGTTTACGCCAAATTCTGACTCTACCATCTGAATGTCTCAACAGAAATCGAGACTCATCAGACCAGGCAACATTTTTCCAGTCTTTAACTGTCCAATTTTGGTGAGCTTTTGCAAATTGTAGCCTCTTTTTCCTATTTGTAGTGGAGATGAGTGGTACCCGGCGGGGTCTTCTGCTGTTGTAGCCCATCCGCCTCAAGGTTGTGCGTGTTGTGGCTTCACAAATGCTTTGCTGCATACCTCGGTTGTAACGAGTGGTTATTTCAGTCAAAGTTGCTCTTCTATCAGCTTGAATCAGTCGGCCCATTCTCCTCTGACCTCTAGCATCAACAAGGCATTTTCGCCCACAGGACTGCCGCATACTGGATGTTTTTCCCTTTTCACAAACCCTAGACATGGTTGTGTGTGAAAATCCCAGTAACTGAGCAGATTGTGAAATACTCAGACCGGCCCGTCTAGCACCAACAACCATGCCACGCTCAAAATTGCTTAAATCACCTTTCTTTCCCATTCTGACATTCAGTTTGGAGTTCAGGAGATTGTCTTGACCAGGACCACACCCCTAAATGCATTGAAGCAACTGCCATGTGATTGGTTGATTAGATAATTGCATTAATGAGAAATTGAACAGGTGTTCCTAATAATCCTTTAGGTGAGTGTGTGTATATATATATTTATACCACGGGCTGTTTAAATACTCGATTCTGATTGGCTGGAAGGTGTGCAGTAAAACCGTTTAATGCACAGGTAGTTCCAGTCAGTTTGATTACAGTTCGAAATTAATCCGCTACTATAAACATTGGTAACCATAGTAACAGAGTTACACTTGCAAAAGAGTGAGAGAGAGAGACACATATGAAAACGTTAGGTAGGCTCAGAGCCATAGAGAGAAAGAGTTGCGACGCTCTTTGATCGCTCGCGATGGCTGTCACGTGGTTCATATAAGCCCCAATAGTTCCAAAACATACGCGGGCTGTCATGTTCTTCTATGGGACAGACAGCAGCGATTGCATTATTGACCGGTAAATATAAAATAAAACACACACCCAAGTACTTTTTCAGCTGTTACTGCATTATTGCATTTTGTTAATGTCAGTTATGCATTTGGAGAGGCAGGTTGACAACGAAATAGCCTACTACTGTATATTACTTAGATACGTTTTAGGCTTTTTTTCTTTTTTTTTTAGGGAAAAGACAGTACGGAGCCCCCCTAGTCCCACTTTGTCAAAAACATTTATTATAACTATCTCGTGGCCTCAAGATAAGTAACTCGTGGCCTCAAGATAGTATCTCGTGGCCTCAAGATAGTATCTCGTGGCCTCAAGATAGTAACTCATGGCCTCAAGATAGTAAATCGTGGCCTCAAGATAGTATCTCGTGGCCTCAAGATAGTATCTCGTGGCCTCAAGATAGTATCTCGTGGCCTCAAGATAGTAACTCGTGGCCTCAAGATACTATCTCGTGGCCTCAAGATAGTATCTCGTGGCCTCAAGATAGTATCTCGTGGCCTCAAGATAGTATCTCGTGGCCTCAAGAAAGATAGTATCTCGTGGCCTCAAGATACTATCTCGTGGCCTCAAGATAGTATCTCTATCTTGAGGCCACGAGATACTATCTTGAGGCCACGTGATACTATCTTGAGGCCACGAGATAGTATCTTGAGGCCACGAGATAGTATCTTGAGGCCACGAGATACTATCTTGAGGCCACGAGTTACTATCTTGAGGCCACGAGATACTATCTTGAGGCCACGAGATACTATCTTGAGGCCACGAGTTACTATCTTGAGGCCACGAGATACTATCTTGAGGCCACGAGATACTATCTTTCTTGAGGCCACGAGATACTATCTTGAGGCCACGAGATACTATCTTGAGGCCACGAGTTACTATCTTGAGGCCATGAGTTACTATCTTGAGGCCACGAGATACTATCTTGAGGCCACGAGTTACTATCTTGAGGCCACGAGATACTATCTTGAGGCCACGAGTTAATATCTTGAGGCCACGAGTTACTATCTTGAGGCCACGAGATAGTTATAATAATTTTTTTTGACAAAGTGGGACTAGGGGGGCTCCGTAAGACAGAGCTAGATAAGATCGAAGACGACAAAGATAAGGTCAACATGAAAAAGACAACTAAATGGGCAGTTAACACTTTCAGTGACTTGTTGCGCCAAAGACAGAACAATTGTGATTTCGAGACCTAACGTTACTCTGCTTCTCTTTTAAATGAGACATTTCGGGAGTTTTATGCCTCTGTTCAGTCTACCGCTGGACGCGAATACAGTGTTGCAAGTTTGATGCGTCTCAGAGCAGGTATAAACCGTCACATTACAAAATACATCATCATAAGGGATAAAGACTTCAAGTCAAGCAATGCCGTCTTTAAATCAGTTTTAAAGCGCTACAGGAAAAATGGAAAAGACACCAGCGTTCATCATCCGCGTAAGAAAAGTTTGGTTTGACATACAGCTAATTCATTTAAATAAATGACATGATTAGTTCAAATAAAGCTTGCCTTGTCACTGTCAGTGTTGCCTATCATTCATAAATAATTTTAATAAATCCATGAATCATTAAGTTATATGCCTATGCTTAAGCAACGAGGGGACTAGACTTTAAAGAAGAGACGCTCATAGGTAACTCACGCACGCATCTCTCTCTCTCTCTCTCTCTTTCTTCTCTTTCAGTTCTCTGTCTCTCTCTCTTAATAATGAATTTAAATAAATGTGATAATTCATTCAAATAAAAGCAATCCGATGGCTCTACTTTATTTAAAGCGGACCGAGTGCTAGAACTAACGAGCCGTAACTTAAGAAAATAACCGTCATTTTTACACGTCTGTTAAAAAATTACATTGTAAACATCAGTTACAGCTTTAACTTCTTATTAACTTGGCAAATAACCGAGGTATAAGCGGGATAATCCACGGCTAGCCATGCATTAAAGGATTTTAATGCACGACGTAGAGGCAACCTCCGCTTCGCGTTGGGTGGTTCTTCGCCTCTACGTCGTGCATTAAAATCCTTTAATGCATGGCTAGCCGTGGATTATCCCTTACATATATATATATATATATATATATATATATATATATATATATATTATATATTATATATTTACAACAGTTCTTTCTGGTTCTCTAATCTGATTGGCTGAGAGCCTTTTCTAGCCGTTCATATTCACCCAGTAACAGCACTCTAACCGTTTCACCGTTTGTATCACTCCTCTTGCGGCAACTGTCATGGTGGTCCAACAAATTTCCACCATATTATTTTTTAAAATACTACTGTTGTTGTGTCACAAAATATATTTTTAAGAGTTTTTTAGGCGAGAATGTGGTTATTTAGACCTCAAATATGTTACTAATATAATCATAGTGCCTATTTTACAATCTGTTTAGACGCTTTCGCAGACGTGAGTTCCAGGCCATCAGGGCCGTTCAGCGCTCATGTACCCACAGAGAACAGCTTTTATCTCGGCCGGTCCAGCCGAGTTTGCTGCTGGCTATTATGTAGATAGTGGTTAAACATGAGATATAATTAATTTAGGGTATATCAAACTTGCAATCTTTGGTCTTATTAATCTATTACTTGTTCCAGAACAAATTGATGTTGGTTAAGAGGAAAATTAAGTTTCATAACTCTATATTTAGGCTATATTTCACTTAAATCCTGTGTCATGTGCCATCGAACTGTTGTATAAACGCAATATCACACTCGTAACCGTGCGATATGGCTGTATATCACCATGCTGTGATTACCAACGGCCGAATCACAGCCGTGCTGATATACAGCCATATCGCACTTCTACTCGTGATACTACTATGATACATATGATTTATTTTGTTGTTTTATATATTATAAAATATATAATCTACCTCTAAAAATAAATATTTTTCTTGTTTTTAATCTAAGTCTAACAAAATTTTGTTAGGTTTATGCTTAAAGGAAGTACAATCAAATGAATTGAGTAATAAAAAGTTTTAAGGATTTTTTTTTACAGTGGGAAAACAACAAAATGATTCTGGCTCTAACAAAAGCAGATAATTACCTCAGATAAGCTCACTGAAAACAATTACATTATGCTTCAGCCACATCTAGGATTTTTAGATATTTTTTAAACTGAGACAAAATGGTCAAGAACATACTTTTTGCTGTATGTTTCTTTCTCTAGCAAAGCTCCCGCGGACAATCGCTTCAGAAAAGCTCACTATGAAAACAATTCAATTACGCTTCTGTCACATCTAGAAGCTTCCAGTACACAATTGATTTGCAGATAACCATCGCACACTTTCTAAATGGCCCTTTGCATTGATCCACTCAGCCTGACGCCTGTCAATGTGCCTAATTACTGCACCAGAGCTAGTTCTAGGACAATCTATAGCTATTGCACTAGTATTAACAGTGCCACTGCAGTTCACTCAGACTGTCATTTGGTGTGTGTTGTGTCCTGTAGAGCAGTCACCCGTCCACGGCTTCATCTGTGTACAGTCCGTCTCTCAGCGTGGAAAGCCAGAACTCCGGAACGCCACTGATCATGTGCCGTAGTCCCACAGGTGAAAAAAGCAATCATACACTACACGTTAAAAGTTAGTGGACGCTAAAAGTTAGTGGACAGACACCCGAAAACCACACCCATAGGTGCTTGCTGAACATTTCACATCAAAACCATTAAGTTTTAATAGGCAATTGGAAATAGTTGAAATAGTCAGACTCGCAATTAAAGGGATAGTTCACCCAAAAATGAAAATTCTGTCATGAATTACTCACCCTCACGTCGTTCCAAAGCCGTAAGACTTTTAAAGGTCAAAGAAATTAAGATCTTTTCGATGAAATCTGAGAGTTTTCTGTCCCTCCATTGACAGCTACGCAACTACCACTTTTATGCTTCAAAATGTTCATGAAGAGATCGTAAAACTAATCCATATGAACTGAGCGGTTTAGTCCAAATTTTCTGAAGAGACCTGATCGCTTTATATGATGAACAGATTGAATTTAGGCTTCATCTTTTTCATGCACAAACAGATTAGAAAGATAATAATAATAATAAATGTAAAAAAGCATAATAGGACCCCTTTAAATAGTCTGAATCATCAGTTAGACTGAGGGTGGTGTTCACATACGGTACTTTTGGCCATGAGATGCATAAACGCACATGTACTTTCATGCACACACAAATTCTTGCACGTTGTCACTGTAACAAAAAAACAAGAACTCCTCCTGTTTCCTCAGATGTAAAGAGCAAAACTTCACCAAGGTCAAACTTGAAATTCCGCTTCGACAAGCTGAGCCACTCCACAGTATGTACCCTGTCCTCGAATAACCTTTAATATTGGTGTATTAATACTTTAATACTCGTGTGTGTATTTTGATATTGCTTTCATAGCTTTGCTGTTTTGTGGTAGATCAGATTGATAACAATGATGAAATAATGACAGCACGTGTGTTACTCTGGGTTTTATGGTGAAAGTGCATTTGTTATCTTAGATCTATAACAGTGCATTTGTTTCCATTTGCAAATAATGAAAAAACATTCACTGAGAATAATCCTTTCTTTCAGGGTCATTAGGTCAGACAGAAGCCACTGCTTGGACAAAAGGTACTTCGCATGTTATGCACACATCTTTAAGCTAGGGATGAGCATATGCATATTGAAATATCAAAACTTTCGATACTGATACTTGCTTAGAAATATAAATAAAGTTTTTTTTATTACCTTTTATTTATTTACAATGAAAATGAATGGATATCATAAGCTTTGAGGTGAAAAAAACTAATTTTGTTAGCAAGTACCGCATGTATGGATTGTATAGGAACTATTTCGGGGGAATATGAATGCTTTAAATGAATGCTGAAACATGTTCTATAATTGTTGTTAACAAATAAACAACAAAAAAGGAGTCTGATCATTTTCAATTTAGGCCTTTCTAAATGATTGTTAAATAGCTTAAGTTACCAATATTAGCTTCTCTGAGGTGGCTACCAGTGGATTTCAGGATAAAATACAAAACTCTGCTGTATGTTTTTAAAGCCGTGAATGGGATGGCTCCTGCTTATGTATCTGAGCTTATTGCTCTTCATCAAGCACCTAGGTCTTTAAGATCAAATAATAAGTCATTGCTTTCTGTCCCTCGATCTTATTTAAAGTTAAAAGGCGATCAGGCCTGTGCTGTTGCGGGTCTGAGGCTTTGGAATAGTCTGCCTCTTGAACTTAGAGAGATCACATCTTTAAATGTTTTTAAAGCTTGTGTTAAAAAATACTTCTTTTCTTTAGCCTTTGAGATGTTGGGCTAGTGTCTGTATTAGTAAGTTGTATGGGGTTTTTTTTATGCTGCTGATTTTACAGCACTTTGGTCTGCGGGTCCAGTTGTAAAGTGCTTTATAAAGAAAGAAAGTGAAGTGAAAGTGAAGCACTGAAAAAAAGCTACATTTCAGGTGTTCAAGCACTTTTGACCCCGAAGAACAAGAATTTGATAATTGCTGAAATAAAATAAATTATAAATTTAGATAGAAAAATTAGAAATGTTGCCTTGGCATCTAACTGAAATAAGTTTGTTGAAGTACCAAAATGACTAAAACTCAAATAGAAATAGAAAAGATAAAATAAAAGATCATTCAAAATATTAAAAATAATATAATTGTATATAAATAATACTATAACAACACTGATTTCCATTTAATAGAGGTTTACTATAGATATTTCCATTTACTACATCTCTCTATCTTAGTTGTGTATGTACTTTAATGAATCTGTGCACTTTTAACGTACATAATTTACCCTGTGTGTGTGTGTTCTTTGTCTTTCTAGGCAGTGGCTATGAATGGATTTTTATAGATTGGAAGAAAAAAGGGACCATTTTCTCTAGCCGACGCAACAGTTATTACTGTTCAACATATTACACAACTGAACACCATGTTAAGAACTGATCTTACAATCTCTCACAAAAAGGGTTTAGAGGACACCAGTCTTAGTAGAAAAAGCAACAAATGTCTCTGTTATTCCAACATTTTAAATGTAGTGCTCAAACAAGTGTTGAAAACTGTCTTTGCCTAGCTGCGATTGCTTTCTAGACAGATGCTCAATATTAACACAGCCACTTGAAATACTTGAACAGTACAGTCATTAAATGTTACAAGAGAGAAGGACTACAAAACTGCATTATCAGCTCCTGTACAGCTACTATACCCTGTCTGTTGCAGAGATTACGGGTCATTTTGAGTCTTGTAACGCATCGCCCATCAGTGTAAGCCTTAAAATACTCTTCACTTTAGAGAACCGTGCACTGCTGAGAAATGAGTTGGTTCTGTTATTTTCGAGTGATGTGAGAAGAGGTCGAATTCTTTCCTGAGGGAAACCAAAGAGAAAGATTTACCATGGGTTATTGATGGTAGAAATACAAAGGTTTTAACAAAAAAAAAAAAACATGCCATTGTGTGGTTGACAAAGACACATTTTATTATATTTTAAAGCAAAATCTTTTCAGTATACATTTAGTTCTTTGAATAAAGACTACAGTAAATTTGTTTACTGGGTTGGCAGCTCCTGCTGACTTTATTGAACAGGTATATTAGCACAATTGAATTAAAAAAATACTTTCCATATATATATATATTTATATATATTTAAATTATTCACTTACCCCTGGTTTCACAGAAAAGGCTTAAGCTAGTCCTAAAACTAGCTTAAATGCATGTTTGAGCTGTTTTAACTCTGAATGCACACCAGTAATGTTTTTTTTTTCCAAACCACGTTTAAAAAAGCTACTTAAATGCCCTAATTGAACTAACGCCTGTTTCACACATACCCTGTTTGCAGTAGTTTGCTGCTGCATTTTAAATGAAAAGGAGTGCCATCCATTATGGCCTTGTTGAGGTAAGGTGTAGTTTTCCTTGCTTCACCCTGGTCAAAAAAGCTGTATGTTGACTGTGAAATACAGTCCGCATCCGCTTGCAGTGTGAAAGCCAGGCTTAATCCTGGCTTAATCTAAGCACTGTCTGTGAAACCAGGCCAGAAAGCAGAGACACATCAACATGGTTTGTGGACTTGTGGATGTACAAAAATTAATTTCCATTTTTGTAAATGCACCGTTATTCAACCATGGCATTGGCTGGCAGAATAATGTTTTGAATGGATTTTTTTTTTTTTTGGAAATTGTGTTATTTATTTACAAATGTCTGTCTCTCCTCATTCCTCATGAATCAGTTGTTAGTTTTCAGCGGTACTTATTGGTGAGGGCATTAGACTGCAGAGAGCGAGTTAAATATTCTTGTACAATAGTAAGCACATTCACATAAAACGTGATGGCATATATGTTTGTACTGCCATAATTTATTGCTTTTAAAAGTTGTTGATGTTACGTAAAAAAAAAAAATACAGAGTCAAAAACAAATTAAAAGATGATGTATATGTATATTTGGTTATGGCATGTGCCATTAAGAATTTATTATAAAATAAAATGTATTTTGTGTCAAATAGCGGTCTGTTGTCTAAATCATTCGAAAAATTTGTCCAATGCCATTTGCTCAAATAGGTCTCCTTTTATTTCTGGTACAATCACACAATCCATATACACAAAGCACATCTTACAGGCATCTATGGAAGATCAACACAATCAGATACGGCATTACAACTATATTAAATCAAAGTGTAACATTGCTAGCATTCACATTTCAAAGGATCACAAGTTTGATATATTCTCAATCTTGTTGTGTCTAACATTGCAAATGTACAGTCATGTTTGTTCTGGTATTCAAAAATACCCACAGCCACATGCGAGATAGAAATGCAAGATGAAGTCTTTCTGTTCAGGAGAAATGCACAGAGGAGTAAACAGTTGGCTCAGGCACTTGTTTTGGACAATCATTCTGCCGTCTTGAATTTTTCAATGCAACTTCTGCATACACCAACTGCATAAATAATGACAAGAAATCAATCATATTCAAAGGTCATGAATAGAGAAATCTAATTTCCCTTGATCTTTTGACATACAAGAGGTCATTGTACTATAAAAATATCCTGTAAGTTTCAGAACTGAAAACTTCCAGTCCAAAACCAGCTTTTATTGAAAACAAGCTCAGAAAACGACTCGTTTCAGATTTTGTCACATTATGACATTATAATGCGACGAAAGACCGCCTCTACAGAAGAAGATCAACGCCTACTTCTACATCATTGCCTCTTTAGCCCCGCCCACTGATTTGCACGTCATGTTGTTGTAAACATGAGACCCAAACACAGGATTACTCCAACAACAAAACCATAGAGACGTCTCTGGGGATTAGAAGACGTCTTTGTAATACCAACCTTGTGATCCTAACATTAAAGGGATAGTTCACCCAAAAATGAAAATTAGCCCATGATTTACTCACCCTGAAGCCATAGGTGTATATGACATTCTTCTTTCAGACGAATACAATCGGAGTTATATTAAAAAATGTCCTGGCTCTTCCAAACTTGATAACGGGAGTGAATGAATATATGTTTTTGGAAGTCCATCAAAGTGCATCTATTCATGATTAAAGTGCTCGACACGGCTCTGCAGGGGTTAATAAAGGTCTTCTGAAGTGAAGCGATGCATTTGTGTAAGAAAAATATCCATATTTAAATCTTTAGAGTAAATCATGAGCTAATTTTCATTTTTGGGTGAACTATCCCACAAATTAATAATGAAAGTTTCTCATTATTATGAGATGTTAAGTCATTATTATGAGAAAATTTCTCATTATTATGACTTACAGAATTATATTTTTTTTACTCAACTGCGGCGGAAACGGGCTTCCATATGATACAGGTCTTTTGATATGAGATCTTTTGAGTATTTATACTGTAGCACCGCAGTCAAACTGAATAGTTGTGACATGCTATTCTATCCTTTTTATTTTATTTAAAACACGACACTACACTTTATTTGCCACAACCAAGACTTATAAAGCATATATAATAAGCATGAATGATTCACATTGTTGGAAAAAGTTTCAAATATTTTTCAACATCAGAAGTTCCCTTTCGAACAGTCACTTCGTATTGCATAGCTATACACAGTGGGGAAACTCCCTTTCCTCGATTTACTGAAGCTTATATGTAAAACGCATTTGCAGCTGCACAGCTAGCACATTGAGCGTCTGACTCGCTCATAGGCTGTGCTGCGGCAACTGCACATCCAATGGCGTGGGCGACTGGCGAGTTGTCGCTTCAGTCGTTGAAACCTGCTATAATGACGAATTCGGGGGAATAATATAGGCTAAGGCCACGCCCCCTTGACGGGCTCTGACGTGTGTTGACGTAGAGCTAGCTCATTGGTCGCACGTCAGAGCCCGTCAAGGGGGCGTGGCCTTAGCCTATATTATTCGCCCGAATTCGTCATTATAGCAGGTTTCAACGACTGAAGCGACAACACGCCAGGTTACTATAGTGCGGCCGGCTAACCGAGGTTACGATAGTAACCGAGTAGTTCCCTTTCGAACGGTCAGTTCGTATTGCGTAGCTATACGCAGTGGGGACGCCATGCAAAACGCCGCACCCAAAGTAACTGGCTGCCACTGAAAAACTCAGGATCTCTGAGCTCATAGAACAAGCCAGAAACCCAAGTATATAACAGACCGGACACCATCGGGTCTAGAACAATATACACATGTGTTAGTAGCAAACCAACATAATATACTAATAAAACCAGACACAGTCGGGATTATTAGTATAGGAGTTATAACCGGCCAAAGCGGGTTTCATATTATATACAGGTCCTTCTCAAAAAATTAGCATATTGTGATAAAGTTCATTATTTTCCATAATGTAATGATAAAAATTAAACTTTCATATATTTTAGATTCATTGCACACCAACTGAAATATTTCAGGTCTTTTGTTGTTTTAATATTGATGATTTTGGCATACAGCTCATGAAAACCCAAAATTCCTGTCTAAAAAAATTAGCATATCATGAAAAAGGTCCCTAAACGAGCTATTAACCTAATCATCTGAATCAACTAATTAACTCTAAACACCTGCAAAAGATTCCTGAGGCTTTTAAAAACTCCCAGCCTGTTTCATTACTCAAAACCGCAATCATGGGTAAGACTGCCGACCTGACTGCTGTCCAGAAGGCCATCATTGACACCCTCAAGCAAGAGGGTGAGACAGAAAGAAATTTCTGAACAAATAGGCTGTTCCCAGAGTGCTGTATCAAGGCACCTCAGTGGGAAGTCTGTGGGAAGGAAAAAGTGTGGCAAAAAACGCTGCACAACGAGAAGAGGTGACCGGACCCTGAGGAAGATTGTGGAGAAGGACCGATTCCAGACCTTGGGGGACCTGCGGAAGCAGTGGATTGAGTCTGGAGTAGAAACATCCAGAGCCACCGTGCACAGGCGTGTGCAGGAAATGGGCTACAGGTGCCGCATTCCCCAGGTCAAGCCACTTTTGAACCAGAAACAGCGGCAGAAGCGCCTGACCTGGGCTACAGAGAAGCAGCACTGGACTGTTACTCAGTTTTGCATGTCATTCGGAATTCAAGGTGCCAGAGTCTGGAGGAAGACTGGGGAGAAGGAAATGCCAAAATGCCTGAAGTCCAGTGTCAAGTACCCACAGTCAGTGATGGTCTGGGGTGCCATGTCAGCTGCTGGTGTTGGTGCACTGTGTTTTATCAAGGGCAGGGTCAATGCAGCTAGCTATCAGGAGATTTTGGAGCACTTCATGCTTCCATCTGCTGAAAAGCTTTATGGAGATGAAGATTTCATTTTTCAGCACGACCTGGCACCTGCTCACAGTGCCAAAACCACTGGTAAATGGTTTACTTACCATGGTATTACTGTGCTCAATTGGCCTGCCAACTCTCCTGACCTGAACCCCATAGAGAATCTGTGGGATATTGTGAAGAGAAAGTTGAGAGACGCAAGACCCAACACTCTGGATGAGCTTAAGGCCGCTATCGAAGCATCCTGGGCCTCCATAACACCTCAGCAGTGCCACAGGCTGATTGCCTCCATGCCACGCCGCATTGAAGCAGTCATTTCTGCAAAAGGATTCCCGACCAAGTATTGACTATTGAGTGCATAACTGAACTTAATTATTTGAAGGTTGACATTTTTTTTTAATTAAAAACACTTCTTTTATTGGTCGGATGAAATATGCTAATTTTTTGAGACAGGAATTTTGGGTTTTCATGAGCTGTATGCCAAAATCATCAGTATTAAAACAATAAAAGACCTGAAATATTTCAGTTGGTGTGCAATGAATCTAAAATATATTAAAGTTTAATTTATATCATTACATTATGGAAAATAATGAACTTTATCACAATATGCTAATTTTTTGAGAAGGACCTGTATATATGTGTGACTGTGTGTGCACAGTAACATATTTAGACATGACCAGACACCGTCGGGCCTTGTCATACAGAAAGTACCTTCGCCTGCAGGGAAGGCACCTCCATATTATAAAACTTCATAAATGTGGAAGGAGGAAACTACTCCCATGGTCACACCCTCGTGGTACCAGCCCTGCGCCTGCCAGGGAATCAGGGTTCTTAAACAACCGTGATTCACCCTGATGTGCAGACTGCCTGACTGCCATGCATGGGTTGGCACACGGAGTTTTAGCCAAGGGGGTAATCCACTAGCCGGAAACTGAAGTCTCCCCGGGTGCCGCCATTGGCTAACAAGCCTTCACCTGCTGTTAGCATTCTATTGACTCCCATTCATTTTGGCGTCACTTTGACAGCGAATAACTTTACATCTGAGGCGTTTAAAGACTCCATAAAGCCAGGGACCGGTATGTGGACAAAATTGGCACTTTTAACGGTTTGGATCCATATGAAATTTCCAACAAACAGTGGGAGCACAGTAACTTAATCCGGACAAAGGTAAGCTGCGTCACACCTAGCTGCTAGTTTAGTAACAGTGCTAACAACCATTCACACATGTAACATACTTTTAACTATGTGTTTCAAAAGTGTAGTTAGTACCTGTTTAAGCAAAACTTAAATTAGTAAGCAAAACGATGCTTAGGGCAAGGGGGTAGCAACAGGACAACAGTACAGAGACTGACAGGTCCGATGGAAGGGCTAACGTCAATGTTAAGAGAGTATTAAAATACGGGATATTTTACAGGAAAATACTAAAACGGGAAGACAGCGGGAAAAGAGCTCAAATACGTGAGAAACGTGAGGGTTGAGCTAACGTTACTAACTACACTTTTCAAACACATAGTTAAAAGTACATGTGTGAATGATTGTTAGCACTAACTTTTACTAAACTAGCAGCTAGGTGGAGCGCAGCTTACCTTTGTCCGGATTACTGTGTTCCCACTGTTTGCCGAGTCTTTGTTGGAAATTTCATATGGATCCAAACCGTTAAAAGTGCCGATTTTGTCCACATACCGGTCCCTGGCTTCCCTATTTAACGTATCCCGGTAAATTTCACATCCTTTTAGGGATTTTAACATATTTTTTTCTTTTCTTTCTCCCAACTCTGCTGCTTCTCCTCGTTCGACTTGCTGTATGTTTACATTCGCGAAGCTATCAACATGGCGGCCACGCCAAGTAATGACATCACGACGCTCAAGCCCTATTATTCCTCCGAATCAGCCATTATAGCAGATTTTTATTCCTTCAGCGGCAACTTCACGTATCTGACTTTTTTACTGAGCTTTCGCCGTCGAACAAGCCCTTCAGCCTGAGGGTGCCTCATCTCAGCAGACTACGTCTTCATCAGCCGTTTTCTCCTGACGCCGTCTCACCTGTGGCTATCCGGTGACGACGCTATATCCTTTCATTTAATTTTACAGATATTGAGCATGCGAGGCGTTGTTTCAAATGCCTCGCTCATCTTGTGCCACGTGCGGATGCAATCTGCACGAGGCCGACGAGCACACGAGATGCATCTCATGCCTGGGGATCGTCCACGCGGAGACTGCACTTGCTTCTGGTGGCTGCGTGGCCTGCGAGAGCATGCCCATGTCTGTGCTGCGAACGCGGCTAGCTCTCTCCTGAGACGGTGACGCCGCGTCACAGACTCTTCCTTTTCCGCTCCAACCGAGGAAAAAGAAACACCTTTACAAACATACGCCGTTTTCACGGCGACCCACATAAAGCACAAAAAGAGTATGTTTCACAACACACAGGTTTACGGTCCCCCTCCACTCGGCGGCCCCTACCCTGTTGTTACACTGACTTCCCCCCAGGCAAAAGCCTGTATAGTCAGTCCAACACTCAATGTGTGCACAAATCACAATATAAGGGTATCAGGTCCCCCTATGTTAGGCGGCCCATCCCAATCTGTGTGTCAATCCCTAGCCACATGGGCGCTGGCCTGGCAAGCCATACCCCATGTGTCGAGTTGGGTCATAAACACCATAAAGCAAGGCTACCTGCTCCAATTCGCTCGGAGGCCCCCGAAATTTCAGGCGGTTGTCGAGACTTCAGTGAGAAGCAATGTGGGTCACGTGCTTCTCACCGAAATACAAAATCTGTTAGCAAAAGGGGCAATAGAGCCTGTCCCAACCAGCCCTATATTTTCACATATATTTTCACATCCGAATAAACCCTCGTCACAGGCCAATCGTTAGCACCCTGTACATTCAGGAAGTGTATGGATGCAGCGCTCTCTCCCCTGAGACATCAGGGAGTGCGCATGCTAAATTATCTCGACGACTGGCTGGTGCTGGCACAGTCGAAAGCCGAACAACTGTCACACAGGGATTTGATTCTCGGCTATTTGGAATCCCTGGGTCTCAAAATCAATGTAACCAAGAGCAAACTGACCCTCTCTGTGCGAGCGCTGGCAGTCTCATTCAAGGCGGGTGAGCGTGCACCCCTGAAGAAATTTCAGAAACTTCTCGGTCTAATGGCAGCAGCATCATCAGTACTCCGTATGGGATTACTGCGCCTGCTGCAGCACTGGCTAAAACCATAGACAGTAAAAGAAATGGACACAGCGACCCCATAGACTTCAACGGAGAAAAGTGAAGTAAATTAGAAGCACTCACTTCCTGATCGCCAAGCGCACTGCGCAGGCTCACACTGAGCTTGATGAAGTAGATGTGACGTGAGCAACCTGTCTCACAGATGTACGTCTTCTAGTAGCTGTGCCAAGCGGAATCTGAATCATTCCCTTCTGAATCTTGCAGAGCCGGAGATCGTGAGTATTAGCTGTCCATGAGCTAGCAGCAGGAGCAACTTTACAACTCTCTATGGGCTTCTCCCTTGACGTTATGCCTCCACGTCCCCCCGATTGCACGCGAGCTTCTACTTCTGTCTATACGGTAATTTATCTACTGTGCGACAGAGAGTCGCGTGTTATGACGCAATCGTTAGCCTATTTTTACAAAAACTGCTTCTACGGGGCCATAATGTAAGATACAAGGTAATGGAGCCTTTTATACATTGTCGTGTTTCTTTAGAAATAAACAATGGACAAATGGAGTCTTTAAACGCTTGTGTTGATGCTTTAAACGCTATGTTGACGTCGAGCTAGCTCATTGGTCGCACGTCAGAGTCGCCCGGGCCATTGGATGTGCAGTTGCCGCAGCACAGCCTATGAGCGAGTCGGACGCTCAATGTGCTAGCTGTGCAGCTGCAAATGTGTTTTACATATAAGCTTCAGTAAATCGAGGAAAGGGAGTTTCCCCACTGCGTATAGCTACGCAATATTCGTTCCCTCTCTCAGGGAATCGAGGTTACGATAGTAACCGAGTAGTTTTCGAGATGTTATGGCAGGGAGCGACGTTGAAAATTATTTTAATATTTTTTTTTTTATGTAAAAATCTTTATAACATTGGACCTCAGAGAACATTAAAGACTGCTTTAAACAAACCAGAAAGCACAAGAAACTGAGGTACTTACTTCCTTTTTTGGTTTCACTCTAGCTGCAACTAGAAAAAAAAAGAAAAGTAATTTAAGCACTAGGCAGATAAACAACCAGATAGATAGATAGATGAGTTGATATGACACATCTGCAGAATAGAGAGTTGGCTCTTACAGGAAGTGTAGGAGCGAGGCGGGACAGGGGGTGGTGGTGGATGATCCCGGGTCAGACACCAAACTAATCCCAGAACAAGAGGAAAGCACATTGAGGCACTAAGGCATAGCAGAACTCTATGAGAGAGGTTTCTTCCCGATGAGTCTACTGATGCTGTCCAGAAATAAAGACATTAAATGGATTTGATCAAGCTAAAGGTTGATGATCCCATTCATACTTTCTCATTTCATTTTTTAGCAATATCCTGTATGCAAATTTCAAAACAATAGCATGTCCAGAATGCACATACCTGCAGTCACATTAACATATGTCACATGCCCATTGCTTGTTAAGTTCTTCTGAGACCAGGTTATCATGCACTTGTATGGTCCAGCATCTGACTGGTTGATGTTGTGAATGTGGACTAACAGATGTGTGCTATTGGCTGTTGAGCTGTAATTAGACAGCTTGATTCGTTCGGAGGGAGTGAGGCGAGTAAATCCTGTGCTCTGCCATTCCTGGAAAACCCATCCTCCAGTCCAGCTAAGGACCCCACAGTGTTGCACTTCACAGCTCAACTCGAGACTGCTTCCCTCTGGAACAAACTTGGATGCACGACTTGCTCGAACAAAGCACAGTTCACATGCTGAAATCAGAGTATAACAAGCGAGTTGAGTTTTTAGTTACACAAAAGCACTTTTTGTACTGTGTTCCGATTGTAGGCTACAATTAAAGGGATAGTTTAAAAAAAAATGAAAATTATGTCATCACTAACTCACCCTTGTGTTGTTTTTTGAGTTTTTTTTTTCTTTTTCTTTTTTCTGTTAAACGCAAAGGAAGATATTTTTAAGAATGTTTGTAACCAAATAGTGGTGGGCACCATTGACTTTCATAGTATTTTTTTAACCTCCATATTATGGACTTCAAGGGTGCCTCACAATGGTTTGGTTACCCATATTATTCAAAATATCTTCTTAATTGTTTTCAACATAGCAAAGAAACTCATACAGGTCAAAAACAACACGCCTAAATGATGAACGAATTTTCATTTTTGGGTGTAAAACATTAAAAAGAAAAGTTTGAGAACTGTAAATGTTTACACTTCTAAAACATTATTTTTATTAAGAAAAAAGTTAAGTAGCCTACTTTTGAAAGTACCGCAATTTTAACTATGAATTTGAGAAGTGGCTTACCTTTTAACATACACAAAAATGCCAGAAACGTCAAGGAACACCTGTAATCGCTTTTCATCATTTAAAAATTTTCCATAGGCCTACACAGTCGACTGTCCTCGCAGCCACAAAACAGGTTCAGACGCGCTTTACAATTAACAGCCGACTCTTCTGCCACGTCTCCGCAATAGGCTACAACAACAAAAGTCACTTTTAGTTCTTCTAAACTCTTTCTAGCTTCGTCAACACCCACTCTTTTTATTAACTGCAGGGAAATGTACGCTCAGTTTAATTACGTCTGGCAGCTTCAGCCGCATTGTTAATGTGCACGGAAAAGCAAGTTTGCCACAAGCTAGTGGGAAGCTGGGTCATATCCTTCCTGAATCTCAATCACTGTTGACATCCCATTATAAATGGACCGAAACTAGGAGAATAATTATGGAATCTAAACTAACATTGCTCCTTTTTGAATCCTTCAATATGTGTGTCCGTCCAGCTGTGGTAAGGCAGATTTTGCACTGGGCAGGAAATTAAACTACAGAATAGAAGGGTTTCCTTCAGTTTTAAAGGGGTGGTGGTTGATTATGATTTAACTTTTTCAACTTTTGTTAGTGTGTAGCTAATGTTGCTGTTTGAGCATAAACAACATCTGCAAAGTTACAAAGTTCAAAGCAAAGGGAGATAATTTCTTTTAAAGAATTTGCTTTTTAAGGACTACAACGGCCGGTAGGGACTACATGAGCTTCCTCCCGGGTTAGTGACATCATGAACCCTAAAATTTACCCCGCCCCCGGAACACGATTTATATATTATCATGACAGAATATATGGTACTAGACTAGAAGGTAACTACACAAGCTACATAAATCCATCAACTAACCATTCAGAAATTGTGTCTATATGTTGTCACTTCTTCTTGAGTCTCTCCATCATTGTTCGACTCCGGTTTGAACATAAAAGGGCTAAAAGTTTTAGAAATTTTCAGTGCATGACATGTCTGTGTGAGGTAATCTAAACCGCTAACACACAAGCTCTGCTCTCTGTGTCGGGAGCAGAAGTCATTTGCATTTAAAGGGACACACACAAAAACAGTGCGTTTTCTTTTGAGATAAAACTTCACATACACACTCTGGGGACATCAAAGATTTATTTTACATCTTGTGAAGAGGGCATTATACAATGCCTTTAAAATGCAGTTGATATTTTTTTTCTTTGTGTTGTTGCTGTTTAGAGTTTCTTTCCATACTGCAAATAATAATAATAATAATTTGCTTAGTATTTTGTCATTTTCTAGTAAAAATATTCAAACATCCTTAAAATAAGATCTTTATAAAATCTTTTCAAAAAAATAAAATCTTTATGTGAGAAGAAACACTTATTGTAGAGAAGAAATTATTATACATGGTTAGAAGAAGAAATTATTATACATGGTTAGATTTATGCTTAAACATAAAAACGAGCAAATGATTTCCAGATACCTTACTGAAAAATACAAATAAATAAATATATTCAATATAATTAAATATATTTATATTAAATATATATGCTGCCAGATACTGTGTGTCATTTTCTGTCACTGAAATTCCTTGAAGAAAAACAATAGTTCGTTCTATTTTTTTGCAGCCACATGGTGGTGCTCAAAGCTAAATAGTTTCACAGCAGTCAGCTGGGAAATCTGGATATTGCAGAGGAATAAAAAGGCATGTGCGGGCAATTACACAGCTGCTGCTGGAGATAAAAGCTGAGCTTAAACACAACCTGCTGCTGCTCTGTTGCTTTAAGATGAACGACATTCACAATGTCCTCATAGATTACGCTTGATACATTTGCTTGAAATCTATTTAAAAAGGGTCAAATTCATATGATAAAGACAAGCCTTGAAAGTTAAAAAAGTTTTTTTGTTAAGAAGTAGAACTTAATAATTGCAATATGGAAAAAGGCTGTAAATATATATATAAAATATATTATGATTATTTTTCAGGTCCTCTGTATAGCGCATCGCTTTTCACATACAGTAACCAAATTGATACACTTCTAGATCTCATCAAGCCGAAAAACTTTCGCCCTCATATACGTCAGCCCAACAGGTGTGAAAAACGCATGCTCTGGAATTAGGATCAGTTGTAAACTGTTTACCAGTCAGTTAAGCCAGAAAATATTTTAACATAGGCCTATATATCATTTTAAATAGGCCTTTTTCTGGGCTATACATTTGAATGACAAAATAAAGACAATAACCAGTTTGTATTTGTAGTGCACTGACAACATAGTTTTATATAATTAGTTTAATAATAACGTTAATAAAAATACACAAAACACATTTTTAAGATAAATAATATGGACTTACAAAATTTTGATCTGCAAATGATAACTTGTCACTAATTTGAAAGTGACTTATGGCATCCTATTACATGATATTCATCTACAGGTTTAACAATGTAAAATAATGTGAGAATTTACATTTTTGGGGTGAAATTATCCCTTTAAACAACAAATGCAGCATTTCAGCAAAGAGAAGCTCCCTCAGAAGGTTCCTTTGAGCTGTGCCTTTGTTTTCTTGCTGCGAGTAACTTGAGTCAGCGAACCGTAATGACAACCAGATGTGAAGGACGTCAGTGTGGGCTTACAATCTCAGGATATGTCTGTTTTTCTTGGAACGCCCGCAGTACAACACCAACCCAAAGTTACACAATGTCTAACAAAATCATTTAATCGTTTAGCTCAGGGGTGGGCAAGTTCGGTCCTAGAGAGCCGCTGTCCTGCAGAGTTTAGCTCCAACACTGAAAAAAAACCTCTCCTGCCTATAGCCTTGGGCCCTGCCCCAAATGGCACACTCCGGACTTGTGGACTTCCTCAGAGTCCACACTTCGGTGACGTCATGTTGTGCAGACCTATAGAGCCCTTAGCGCAAGGCTCTATAGGTCGATCGTCACGCCGGAAACAGGAAGACGGTCTGATTGTTGTTATGGACAGGAGCTACAGGTTCGGGGAAATATGCTGCCTATTGTTGTTGTGTTTACACATGACTCAGTAAAGCCCTGACATTCTGTTCTATTAATGAATCATAATGCGATCGTATTATTCAGCTCGCTATTATTAGCCTATGTTTGAGACATCAACCACTGGTCGATGATCATAATATTTGTATAAACTTGTCATAAAAACCGTAATGATAATTACACTTAAATATTTTCTTCTCAGCCATGTTAATAATTGTCCGTGAGCGAAATCTCCTCCCATCTGCTGTCTGATTGGTCTTTCGCAAGGATTCCTGGGTAGTTAAAGTGCGTGGAGTCTGCATCTATGCGGGCTTCGCGGAAGACCACTTCAAGGGTACAAAGGGGGCGCTGCTGAGCACACTTCAGAGCGTTAAAATGCTAAATGGGACGGCCTACAGACTCGTAGACTCAGCGAGCACGAGCAATTTAAGTCCACGAGACCGAAAGTCCGCATGAAGTGCGCCATTTGGGACAGGGTCTTGGTAATCCTGAAGACATTGATTAGCTTGTTCAGGTGTGTTTGATTAGGGTTGGAACTAAATTTTGCAGGACAGCGGCTCTCTAGGACCGAACTTGCCTACCCCCGGTTTAGCTCATTCATATGCTCGTACGTGCTGCAGAATAACTTTTGTCAACTTTGTTACCGTCCCTTTTTAAAGATCTGAAAGTGAACCTGATCTCCAATTCCTCATTGTTATCAATCAAAACAGGAAACCTGGACTGACCACCCAAGAATGAGGAATAAGCATGAGCCGGCCAACCCATGTGCTTTAAAGCAGATAAGTAAAAGCAAACACTCACAGGTCAGGAGCAAACAATAGTGTACAATTGACTAAACCGGCAATAAGGCACTATTTCTTCCATATTTTAGATGTATACAGTGCCTTGCAACGGAGTTAGCTAATGCTTAGAGCCATGTACAAATCATTTTTGTTCACACATGAAAAGACAGATTAGTGTCCTCTGAATGGTACAGTCCCAAGAAAGAAAGATTTCTTGGCAAAACAGTTTGCTCCATGATCAGATTACGTCCTCAGCCTTCATTGAATGTACAACAAGGCTCTTTTCCTCCCTAGCTTGAGGCTCTCGGAGGTTTCTTGAACCCACATTGCAGAATAGGCAAAAAAATGTACAAGTGTAAGATGGCATTGCGCTAATGCATTACATGGAATGCAAACATCATTATGTGGTCAGCACCTCTGCAAGTGATTTTAGCTACAAAGGCCTGTTCTGACACAAAACACTAACCCAGTTGAGCGTGACGTATGGACACAGAGCCCGATGTGTCTATTCTGGTGCACAATAAAGCTTTTCTTTTGGACGCAGTGTTACAGCGAGAATGGCTCTATTGTGCTGGTTTTCTGATACTGTGAGACTTACGCTGGGTCTTTAACATTAGGCAGAAAGGGAATGACGATGACTTGACTGTTTGTGATGTCAACAACAGCTTGAGAATGAAACGTCAGCACGCTTTTAGAGAATATGAGCAACTGGTACATTGTGTAATCTAGAGAGGGATGTTATTTGCTTATGTGTTTTTTTAAAAGTCATGTCGAACTTGATAGCCATGTTACCATCCTGTCTTTGTTTATTCAAGGAAAGCACATGAGAACTTTTAATTAGTTTAGTACCGTGCGCCCAACCCAATCTCATGGGAAACGAAACTATTTCGCGAAGTGGAAGTTGCGTATGAGTTTGTACAATGTGAATCATGTGGAAACGTACAATTTAGAGAAAATTAAGCTTCTCCCCTAACCCCACCCCTAAATATACCTGTCACTGGGGTGTAAACAGGTTGTACGAAAACCTACAAATGAGATACGGATTCTCACAAATTAGCCACCAATTCGCCAAAATGTAAAACAGATACGAATTGCAATGAAATTGCATCATGTGGGATGTTTTATGAGCATGTATAGTGAAGTTTTTCTGTGTAAGACTTTGTAATTTTCAAAACTACAACTATGAAACAGATTTCATCTTTTCTCTAATGCTATTTTATGAACCCGAATTGGAAATCAATAGCAGCATGCTGTCTGAAACAAGCATTGGCGTGGCACTTTGTAAGAATGCTTCTCCAATGAAAAATTCATGAGATTTTCATGGGCGAAATGTGACCATGGCTGCATTCTAGGCTTCATTCCATTTATTGTTTGTGTTCTGGTTCCAGACATTGAAGCCTTTTAATCTGACTTAAATTTGATTGTTTGTTCCATATCGATTCTCTTGTGCTTTGAGTTTGTGTCAGGTGTTTGGCAGTGGGCCATTGTCTTTTCTCTGGCAATTCAGCCTTGAATTAACTGGTCATTGGGAATCTGGGGTCGAGAGGCTTTAACAGACTAGAGGATTTTGCATAGTTGGTGTTTACAAGTTTAATTTGTCTTTTTTTAAACAAACTCTCCATGGATGCACCAGGGCTTTTTATGTCAACATTTGTCTTTTGCAAGGCTGTGGCTTTTGATTATCAAATGATTCACCTAAGGCCCATTTAACTTCTGTTCTTATCTAAAAAGAGAGCAGGTGATATAACTTCTAGTACAACCTCTCACATAGTAAGGCAAGTTGAGCAGTGTCAGTACTAAATCAAATTTAGCAATTCATTGTGACATTTACAATGTTCTGTAAAAGAATGGTAAAGGTTAATGCTCATTTATTTTGATTTGTTAGGTAGCCTAGGTCACAACAGTGAAGTTGGCTTGCCAGTGTCAACAAATGAAAAATCAACTACTCCTTTTTGTTTTATAAACTACAATTTCTTTCAAGAAAAAAGAAGCATTTAATATCTCTAGATAAACATTGAATATTATGTTAATTTAAAAATGTGTGCTATAGTGTTGCTATATTGAATTAAATTGCAAAGAAAGCTAAAGCTATTCTTTTACTGTAGTGCTAGTATTTTCTTCAGGAAATGCAAATCTAGTTTGCATTTAAAGGATTTATCCTCATAAAATGGTGTTCTTGTGTTATCCAAAGAGAAATCTCAGAAACATGAAGAGAATGTCATGATAACATTGACTGACTGTTTGCTCTTGACTGTTGTTCCTCATTGGCCCACATTTATTTACATTACTTATTTATCCTAAGCATGGCAGAAAGTGCAAAGTGATGAAGTGAAAGTTTAGCCGTTAAGTAAACCTTTTTTTCCATTAAGCTTTTGTGTAGAAAAGAAGAGGGGGATGTGTCTCTGGCATTAGTCTCCTAGAATTTCAAAGAGCTGGATCTTGGCAACAATTCAGAGTAGCTAAGGGGATATATGAAGACCCGGTCTGTGAGGCCTACAAACCTAAAGCATGACAGGCTAAAGTCATCTGGTCCAATTCAGCAATGAAGTCTTCTGTCCACGGTTAGTCTGAGTAAATGGTTAATGCTTAATTATTGTATATATATATAAAAAAAAAGAAGAAAAAAAAAGTGTGGGATAAAACACTGGGTGTTTCTTATAAACAAATCATTGCTGTCGGAGTGCGTCAGACTGAAGAGAACCACATTAGTGAGGTCTGTATTATGACTAATGCACTACGTGACTCAGAAAGAGCCCTGGCTTAACTTTGGAAGTTTTAATACTGTTTGGGGAAGTGAGCATTAAATCACAACAAGATGTTAGATATGTAAAGTAGATTATCTTTTATTAGGAGTATAGTTTTGAACAAACATAAAACATACCTCAACTCATATGATGAGCCATCTTGAAACATCAAAAGTGCAACATTTTAGAGCAACATAATGTAAACGTCTGTGATGACGACTCAGAGAGAATACATTAACGTTACATTTCCCTCTAACGTCAGTCTGAGTGATGTGTAGAACATTTTGTAGTTTGTAAATCATATTTTAGGTTCAGTATTAGAAACACATTTGACTGCTAAAGTAATAAATGACATTAAAATGCCACATTTAAATTCTTAAATTCCACAAATTGTATTTTATTCTTTGTGCTTCTATCAAAAAAGAATAGTAAAAACATCTAAATGAACCAAATTCGCCTGCCCTCAGTGTTTAAGGTCCACTGAAAAATAATTCTAATACACCTTCTGAGAATTTTTGTATGCATTAGTGTAAACTGTACGGCTTCTATGGTCATTTAAAGTGTATCATATAGGGGGCATCTAAACATTAGACATTTTTTGTTCCAGAATACTGTTAAATGAATGACACTGTAAGGCACCATGACTTCTAAATTAACCTACTACACTGTTGTTTGAATACACAACTTATGACACTTTAAGACTGTTTGTGTTAAAAAACAAAATAAACATCACATTAGAGCTGACATCACACTTCAAATCTCAGGTGACATTAAGTAGAAGAACAGAAATGTGATAAATAAAGTGCAAAGGCCATTGTTATGTACTGTCTCTGTGTTAAAATATGATTAACACCTGTAAAATAGCGGACCTTAGTTGGCATAGTATGTGCAAATACGATGCAATCTTGAATTAGAAAATATAAAAGATCTTAAGAGATACTAATAAGGCACAGAGATGAGAAACCGAGTCTTTCCTGGCACTTCAGGCTCATAAGATCATTCCTGCATTGTCACAGGTAAGTATATCATTGGGTTTTGCCTGTCCAATCTGTCTGTGAAACTGTCCTTGCTTGTGTGTCTTCCAGCAATGCACGTTTGACCCTAGAGTTATACTCTTTATGCTTGGCATCTGGGTAAAGACGGTCCTTGATAATGGTGTGACAGCAGTATTGGACAAATGAAGCTCTTGTAAAGAGACGAGTCCGCTAAATACATCTGGGCTCAACGTCTTGAGCCGGCTGTTGTTTGATAAGTCCAAGACCTGCAGGTTCCTCAAACCCCTGAAAGCACCTGGTTGAATCAAGGTCAGGACAGACAGGCCGCTGAGAGACAGGTGAACCAGTTCTGTCATCGAATCAAAGGCCCCTGCGTCAATGCTGGAGATGAGGTTCCCGTCCAGGTTGAGATACTGAAGTGGGATTCCGTTAAGCGTTGGGACCGTCTTCAATCTGTTCCCTGCAAGCATAAGACTCTTGATGTACAGCGGATGGCCAGGCGTCCTCCTGTTAATGGAGGTCAGGAGGTTTTGCGACAGGTCCACCATGATTGGTATATCCTGTGCTCTGGTGGTGAAGAGATCAAGGCTGAACTCTTTGAATTGGTTTTCACTCAGGTCCAGCTCAACGAGAGGGAGTCCAGTGAAGCAGCCATCGCCAAGACCCTCAAGAGCGTTGTTGCTCAAGTCCAACGTCTCCAGATAACGGAGTTTAGAGAACGCTTTGGGACTGACATGTGCTATGACATTGCTGCTTAGGTCCAGACTGACCAATGTGGTGTAACCTGGTCCGGAGAGCATCGAATCGCTGATGGATGTGATGGAGTTTAAGGACAGGTCGAGATGGGAGGTGTCCAGAGGGATGGGGATAGGAGCGTTCCCGGGCCCGATCCCACTGCAGTCCACTTTGGTCAGGCTGAAACTGTCGAAGAGGCCAAAGCTCTCCACCTCACAGCGGCACTGCGGATGGCAGTTCTTCACTGCTCCCATGACAGCCAGGCCAAGCACAGAGAAGAAGAGACACAGCAATGTGGCCATGGTGAGCTATAAACCAAAAAAACACACATTAAAGGGTTTCATTTTATAGCCACGAACGTCCCAAAACAGAACCAATCAAATCACATTAACTTCAAGCATCACCAAAAAATAATTATCAAGTAAATCGACTGAATGTAAAAAAGGGTCTTGCATGGCATATGTTATCATCAAAACTGAACTAGAATCAACTTCACAGGGGCCTTTGAGAGGTTTGAAGAAATCAGAAGTCACTCATTTACATGTGTTAATTCTGTAAACCGACGTAGCCAATCATTTACAGCTGTACGTGCATGCTGGTCACTCTGGGTCTGTGTTTAAGATAAGATAAGATAGTACTTTATTGTCCGTGTACACGGAAATTTGTCTTGCAATACAAGCTCCAACAATTATAGCACACACAAACTAAAAACAAAAACATACAGTCATCAATAAAAAGTATACAAAATTACTTCCATAATATTATGGGTACTCCGCCCTGCAGAAGTGTTCTTCAATAGCCATAAATATATACATATATTGAAATGCAAGTGGGGGGAAAACTATCACTTCTTTCCCCTCATGTGTTGATTCAGCATCGATATAGACAGAGGAACAAATGAGTGTTTATATTTGTTCTTCCTGCACTCCGGGACCCTATAGCGTCTCCCAGAGGGCAGGAGTTGATACTCTTGATTCAACACATGGGCATAATCTTGGGTGATTTTATGAGCCAATCGTACAGTATGTACTTCATGACTTTCAATAAACGCCTTCTCAACCGACTGTCCCACCAATTTGGAACAAATTCCCAGGAGCCGGAAAATCCTGGCCTTCAAATGAGCTGAGAGGCCCCCAAACCACACTGCGCCTCCATACTGCAGAATGCTTTGAATGGTTGACACAAAGAAAAGAGACAGGATTTCACTACTCGCTCCGAATGACCTAAGTCTCCTTAAAAAATAAATTCTCTGTTGTACCTTTCCGCAGATGTAGTCTACATGATAGGTCCAGGAAAGGTCACAGTCCACATACACTCCAAGATATTTAAATGATGATTTTTGTTTTATGATTTGATTATGGATGATTAATGGTGTAATATGGCATTCATGAGAGGTGCCGAAGATGATCTCTTCCGTTTTCTGTGTATTGAGAATGATAGCATTTTCATCGCACCACTCTACAAGATTATTCACTGTTTGCACATAAAGTTCAGCCCCTTCCCCCTCCTTCATCAAAGCTACCAGAGCAGTATCATCAGAAAATTTGATGATATGATGGTTGGGTGCAAAGGTAACACAGTCGTTGGTATAGAGTGTGAAGAGCAAAGGAGAGCTAACACATCCTTGAGGGGCACCGCAGCTGGTTGTGACCATGGGTGAATAGGTGTTATTGACCCTAACCAGCTGTTGCCTGTTAGTGAGGAATGAACAGTACCAATGAATAAGATATGGATTCGTACCCATTAGGGCCATTTTAGATAACAATATGTCCGGTTTTATTGTATTAAATGCAGAGGAGAAGTCAATGAACAGTACCCTGGCATATGGCTTTATTTTCGGGGTGTCCAGATGTTTTGAGACCAGATGCGTAAGAGTGCCGACAGCATCCTCCGTGCTACGATGTTGCCTATATGCGAATTGGAACGGATCCAGGATATCCTGTACAGACTGAGAGAGCTCATTTGCTACGATTTTTTCCAATGACTTCATTAATACGGATGTTAAAGCCACGGGTCTGAAGTCATTACACTCCTTGGGGCATGATTTCTTTGGTAGGGGAATGATATGCGATGTTTTCCAGGCCACAGGGACCGTGTGCGTATCCATGGATTGTTGGAAGATGGGTTGCCACACTGGTGCTAGCTCCTTGCTGTAAGTTTTCAGGATAGAGGCACTGATGTTGTCCGGGCCGGTGGCTTTACGTGAATTAAGCTGACCAAATACTTTTTCCACCTGACCCACTGTAATTGTCACTCTATCCTCGGAGCCCATCGTGACTGACTCCAACACCTTCCTGCATCTCTCCGTACTCCCAGAGGTTTCAAACCTTGTAAAAAAGGTGTTAAATTCCGTGGCAGAGGTTATCTCATCACTTGTCACAAATGGTATCCTGTTTTTACCTGGCATGCCTGTCATACTTTTTATTGTATCCCACGTTTTACGTGGATTGCCAGCCTTGAAAGCTTCCTCCAGATGTTTCTTGTGTGCCTTCTTTGCCTTCCTCAACTTTTCCCTCAGTTCTTTATTTGTTTTTTGTAACTCTCTTCTATCCTTATTTTTAAACGCCAATTTTCTCAAATTCATTACTTGTTTAATGTCTTTAGTTACATAAGTTTTGTTATTAGGGTACACCTTAACTGTTTTTGTGGGTATGATAGACTGTACACAGAAGTTGATATAATCTGTTGTAGCAGTGCAAGTTTCTTCCAATGTGTCCCCCCTCAGCACTTGCCAGTCCGTGCAGTCGAAGCAAGCTCCCAGCTCCTCTCTGCTGTCATCAGTCCACTGTCGAACCACCTTAATCTCTGGTTTTTGACTTTTTAATTTTGATGTGTACATCGGGATAAGATGTTTATTCATCCTTTCCATGAAAACATAAATATTCAAGCTTCTTCTCTTCTAGTGCAACCTGATGAGCCCTATTTTTTCTGCACCTTCTCAAAGGATTTGACCTAATTCTTATGATCAAAGAGCCTATTAAATTGAACTTTTTCAATTACAGGGACAAGTTGTCATGATTATAAAGGTGCAAGGCTTTTCTCATGGAGAATTTAAGAGCTGTTAGCACATCATTTAGTTAAAGAATATAAATGAAACTCAGACTCTGATGCTTTAATATGCAAACCAGTATTATTGGCAATGATTAAGTCCAAATAATTATTGTATATCGCATATCTATATTACCAGGTTTACTTGTGAAATAAACTCTAAATGTATGTCTAAATATCTAATGATAATTTACCATCCTAATGTAATTCAGTTTGAAAGTAAAATAAGAATATAAAAAATATTAATGTTTATGAAAGTAGCCTCTCATACTCACAGAAAAAAATGGCAATATGTTAAATATTATTACAATTCAAAATAACTGTTTTCTATTTTAATATATTTTAAAATGTAATTTATTCCTGTGATGCCAAGCTGAATTTTCAGCATTATTATCCATTCTTCAGTCACATGATCCTTCAGAAATCATTCTAATATGCTGATTTGCTAATCAAAAAACATTGTTTTCAACATTGATAATAATAAACAATGTCTTCATATTTAAAGGTGCTGTATGTAACTTTTTCACTCTACTAAAGCATAAAAATACCATGATATGTTTGCTTGAGGAAACATGCTATGTTCACATAATTGTTTCTCTGAAAAACACTTCTACAGCCAGTTATTTTACTTTGAAATGTGCGTTTTTGTTTTGGTCTGTGATACTGCACGTTGCCAATTTGCACTGTCGAAAAAAATTACACCATCATTCTACACATAAAAATCTGAATCTTGCTTACGTGTTTTCATGAAGTACGCAGAAGACTCTCAAAAACTCTCAGACAGAAGGTCTATGTGTCTAATAGGTGGAGATGTTCATGATGTTCAGCTAAAATCTATAAACGCTCTGCCACGCTCTACTTACGACTTTTGTTGCCGGATTACCCTACCATGTGCTCTTTGTTTAACTATTTGACATGAACTTAAACCCCGTTTCAACACTCTACAATGTTACCACTGAATCTGGGCATGGGTTAACCTGATTACAAAACAGGACAGGTCGAAAGAGACTTGAGAATGAAGCAGCAAAAATGACTGAACATTAATTAGTCTGTAAGATTGTGTGTACTTCTATAGATAACGATTAACAGAACCAGCACGCTAGGTAAACAATTACCTCTTGTGTAATTGATTGCATAATAGGTACAATGAAAACACTAAGTTACAGAGTGCAATACACACTTTCAACTATTTAGTGAGTTATAACTATGTTTTTTTATCTTTTTACTATAAAAATAGCAGACATGCTACGAGAAACTAAGTGGTACCAAAAAAGCAAAAAAGGCTTTGTGACCATGTAACTGTAAACACTGTAAAGTGCTGCTTATACTTGATGAATCTGCTTAAAGCTGCAGTCCGCATTTTTTCCTCTTTGTCGCCATCTCTGTTCGACATCTGCAATTGCAGTCATTCGCGGAATTATCAACTTTACGTGAGTTGTAGTTCGGCACGGCACAGCGCGGACGAACACACTGTTTGAGGAGAGTGTGCGGCTGTCGGTCACCGCGCCGGTGTGGATACTGGCATTCAGAATCACAGATTATTCTTTTTGGAAGTATGACCAACATTATAATTTTCACCGGAAAATGTCATCTGAACTAGTAAGAAACATCCACTTTTGTTCTGGTTCTGACATTGCAGTAAATCGCGCTGATTAAATCTAACAATCGCTTATAAGTTATCATATCACGCAAAACCGTGCAAATTATACTTTGTTCTCAAATTGTTAATGTTAACAACATCAGCATTGCGTGACTACAAATGTCCTTCCGATATTATCCTTGTTTTCGCATGGGCCGGTTGCAGTCTCTTTTTTTCTGTAGCCACTCCAAAGTCCGAACGAAGTCTTTTGCATTTTACAGCGGGTGAATCTGTTGTCACTGGTGATTGTCGTTTGAACCTTTCTGGATCCGCCATCAAATTGATAAGTTTAATCATATCAAGTGCTGTGAGAAAAGGCTATAAATCTCCACATCTAACATCCTCACACGCAATATAGCTTATACTAGGGGTGGGGGGAAAATCGATTCTTAGATGCATCGCGATGCGGACAATTCTGAATCGATTCACCAATATCAAAAATCGATTTTCAAATATATATATATATATATATATATATATATATATATATATATATATATATATATATATATATATATATATATATATATATATATATATATATATATACACACACTACCGTTCAAAAGTTTGGGGTCGGTACGATTTTAAATACTTTTAAAAGAATTCTCTTCTGCTAACCATGGCTGCGCTTATTTGATTAAAAATACAACAAAAATCAGTTATAGTATTAAATATTATTCCAGTGTAAATCAGCTGTTTTCTGTGTGAATATAAAGTAAAGTGTAATTTATTCCTGTGATCAAAGCTGAATTTTCAGCATCACCAGTGTCAGTGTCTTCAGTGTCAAATGATCCTTCACAAATCAGTATAATATGAGGATTTGATGCTCAAGAAACATTTATTATTATTATCAATGTTGAAACATTTGTTGGTCTGTCAGTTGTACCGTTTTTTTTTTTTTTTTTTGGATTCTTTGATGAATAGGAAGTTCAAAAGACTTTTGTAACATTATAAATGTCTTTACAGTCACTTTCGATCAAATTAATTATTCCTTGATAAATAAAAGTATTGATTTCTTTCCTCCAAAAAATAAAAATAAAATTCTCACTCACCCCAAACTTTTGAACGGTAGTGTATATACACATTTATAATAACGTAATATTGACGGAAAAGACGGAACTCTGAAGCGCGGAAGTGCAGCGCCCGGACCGTCTGTGGCGTGCACATAACAGAGACGCAATGGCTGAGCGCGAAATCCAAACACCCTCCTCGTTAAAAGCTGACGTGTGGAATAGGGGATAGTAATATGATATTTTGGTTTCTGCAAAACAGTAAGTGGGACTGAGACAATACTGATAAAAGGGGGATGCTTGTTTGAAGTCCATTTTATGTTAGAGATTCAGAAATGCTGAAGTTTGTTATAATTTGTTATTGTTATATTTACTAATTTACTACAAGTATGCTGCTAGTTCAGGCACACATTTATTTTCCTGTTGGTTCTTTGCAATGTTAATAAAATATATTGTACGTTAATTCTTTATGGGTCATTACTTGGTACTTTTAAAGCAAAGTAAATATATAGTTTTTATAGTCTTTAAATTTATAGTCTCACACACACACAAAAAAAAAAGATTCAGATAATCGATCATCGACAATCGCTTTAGCATCGAATCGCAGCCCTCTGAATCGTAATCGAATCGAATCGTGAGGTGCCTAGAGATTCCCACCCCTAACTTATACTAGCCGAGACTCTTCTTTATGTGTACAGATGTGACGTAATGACGCAAGACATGCTCGAATCTCCCGCGGAAATCCACCAGTACCACTGGAATTAAAAACATTATTACAAGCTTACCGTTTTTGAATCGAGCTAAGGCAAGCAGATAGTTTTGAACACTGGCTGGTTATGTATTTTCTCAAATATGTATTTTGGATTATTTTTAACCCAAAAAAAGCTACGGACTGCAGCTTTAAAGGGTTGGTTTACCCTAAAATTAATATTAAGTCGTCATTTACTAACCTAATGCTGTATGCCATTCTTTCTTTTTCTAGCCACAAAAGGACAATTGAAAAAAATGTCCCACTCATGCTCATCCAATGGCAGTGAATAGAGACCAGCATCAAGCTTTTAAAAAAAAAAAGACACAAAAGTATCACAGAATGGTCCCATGTGACAAGTGCCATATATTCCAAGTGTTCCAGTGGTATACAAAAGGGTTTCAGTCTCATGTGACCTTTTTCAGTGGTCAACTTGGCATTGAGAAAGCTCACATGAGACCGGAACGTTTGCCATTAAACCAGTGGTTTTTATCAGATTTTTTTTGTCTTTTTCTTCATTGATCAAGTGTGGTTACTATTTACTGCCATTATATGGATGTGAGCGTGACATTTTTAAAAAGATTTCTCCTTTTGTGGTCCGAAAAAGAACGATTGGCAATGATGATAAAATTTTCATTTTATGGTGATCTATCCATTTAAATGGGAGTATTTGTTAGGGATATAGACACAGACTTGTAACCTCAGCCATGTCTTTCCCTTTCGCTCTGGTCAAGATGTGTTCCTCTTTGACTTCAAGTAAACATTTTCCTAAAAAATCATACCTGTTCTACTCTCTTCTTAGGAGTTAGGACATGAGGTGAAAGCACTGAAAACCATTTTCAGCCCCATTTTGTATTTGGTAATGATTACACATATGTAACACTAACTTTAGAACATTCAAAATGAATGGAATTTGGAGGCATGGAACTCTTCTGTCAGTGTAAACATCTGCCTGTGTTCCAGGGGTTATGAACTCTCCAGGTGTGGTACACTCACTGTTAAGTCCCTCCTTAGAATGCCTGAAGTCTAAGTGCATTGTATTTTAAGAGCAATCACTGTCAGTGGTTAACAGCTACATATTTAAACCATTTATCTTTCTCCCCTTTTAGTGAGACTGTGAGGCTCACCCATCGAGTCTGCATGAAAACGGTCTAGTATTAAAACGCAGATCATTTTAAAGTGCGCCTATTATGCTATTTTAAAGGTTCCTAGTTTTGATTTGAAGGTCTCCTACAACAGGTTTACAAGCATCAAATGTGGATTCATTCTCTCTAAATCCCGCCTTTCCCCGAGCTTACTCTGCTCTGATTGGCCAGACGGCCTAATCTGTTGTGATTGGTCTACCGCTAAACAAAAACGCCCATTCCCATGACTAAACTTCCATTCCAGAGGCTTCCTAAAGCTCAGAGATTGTTTACACTGTAAAGATAGTAACAATGGCGTCGATTTTACCAATCAATCCGAGCACGTTTGAGGGCGGGTCAAAGTAGACGTTCTTGATAATCTCAATAACTTTATTTGTCGTCCACGTCCGACTTTACAACTTTGCAGACCGTTTACATTCACAGACATCTATAAGAAAAGGTACGCGTAATAGGTACATCAAAGGAAATATTCGAAAAATCATAATAGGGGCACTTTAAACGTAATTTATCTTTCCTGGAGTTTACATAGCCAAAAGAAAACTACAGTACAAAAGAACTAAAGTTGGTTCTTAACCAATTTAATTAGCAGACAGCAGACATCCTAATCCAATAAAGCTGAAAGAATGCAGTACTTTAAGGGGGGGCAGATTTAATGGGAGCTTAGTGTCTCAAACAGCTCAGTAATACAACTTTTGTATGGCAGGTACTTTTTGTGATGCCAACAGCAGCACGTAACCTTTGAATTAGAGACATGCATCAAAGTGTTCAACATGTTTATGGTTGTTGACTACAGTACAGTTGACATAATGCAGGTTGCCACCCATATCCTAGAAAGATCATGCACACACTGCACAGCATTATCTCAATGTTATGCAATATACTGTAGCACTTGTATATCCCTAGAACAAAGAGAATTTAAAACAATATCTAAATAGAATATGTGGATTTCTTGTACCATTATTAATGGGTTGCAATAATGAACAGGTAAAGTTGGACTGCTGTTTTATTCAGGTCTACAGACAAATGGCACCATTTGGTGGGTCTCTAAAGAGAAGTACTTAATCATGCTAATGCCACTTCCTTCAACAGGAAACAACGTAAACTCAGTTATTTGTAGCCATTCATTTAAGTGAGAAACATAGCAATTTAAGCTCAATTGCAAATAAACTTGCAAACATCTCGACATTTTTACATAAATGTGTTCGCCATCATCATCATCATTTATTAATCGTGAATATCATGTTTTTTTTTGTTGTAGTTTAATGAATTTAGTTATTGTTGTATAAAAAGTATAAAACAATATTTATTTTTAAAAATCTTCCGGTAAAAACAATATTGGTTCATTTCTAATACAACGCACTCTTTTGTTAATTTAACTGATTGGGTTTGATTCAAAGTCTAGTGACTGCCTTGACAACATTTTGGGTATAATATGCTGTCTAGGAAGCCAGTTCACTAAGTTTTGAGACGCAGCCAAAATCTCTGCTTTGATGGTTGGACTCACATCTGTCCTCAGTTAAAAATACAAACTTTGTAACAGCTTGACAATGCTCAACAAACGTGTGCTTGTCACGATACCAGAATGCACAAATATAGGCAATCTAGGCTTTTTCATTGTCCATGTCTTTACTCTTCATCACGCGAACTATCGGAGATTAAGGAATCCGCGTACGTTTCGATTTTGTTATGTAAAAAATACAATATAAATACGCTTGTGAGACACAGGAGAAAACTTTTTTTCTTTTTCGTAAAACTTACCATGTGCCGCGAGACTCGTCTGTCGGAGAGCTTTTACTTTTCCAGGCCAACATCGGAAAATACTTTAGTTTTAGTCATTGTCATATCCAGAGCTTTTTGATGTGTGGCAAATGAACACGTCTGCGGTATTGTGTGGGTTGTGACTCTGTCGATCTTTCTGCTATAGAGTACAGACTCGCCAAAGAAGATGAAGCAATAAAAAGCCACCGCAAGCAGAGTCTCGTCTAGAGTTTCACTCACTGATGATGATAATCCGCGCCCACCAACGTCTGAACGCGGCGAGCTTCAACAGCGGCCCCTAGCGGCGAGTATATACTACTACAACCACACACCATTTAAATACTGTAGACCTAACAGTAGGGGGTGAAATCTTTTCTGATTCCGGATACTTCTGAATGTTTTTTTTTTTTATTATTCTTTAATTAAAATAAATAAATAAATGCGTTTACTCCGTCACTGTACTGAAGCCAAAGCAAATAATTATATTATACATATTTGCTTTGTATCAAGGGAAACACATGCCTAAGGGCAAGAGTGTGTATATCACTGACAAACTCCTATAAGGAAAAACTCCCAAGAACACTATATGCACATTGGGGTTTTATTTTTCACTGTTAAAAATGAGGGTTGCCAACAACAATCATGATTAATCTTGTATTTTCCCATCAGTAATACTATTAAATTCAATAAATGTTTAAAAATTAACATGTTAACTTTGACAGCCCTTTCACATTTTTTTTTTTTCAAAATGTGAAGTATCAAATAAAATACATTTCAGTCTAATTTATTATTGATACATTTACAGTGTAATGTTGAAGGTTACCATTATACAACTTGAGATTAAATTACAAACATACAAATAAAGGTTCTTTATCAGCATTGATCGATGGAACCTTTAACATCTGTTGAAACTTTCCATTGCACAAAAAGTTTACTAAAACAAAAAGAAAAGATAAAAAAGGTATTTTAGGAACTGTTTACTGTATGGTTCTTTGAAAATCCAAAAATGGTTCTTCGATGGCATTGATGTGGAAAAACTGTGCTGAATTTAAGGAATAAAAAAGCTTAAAAGATGCATTTAATATTATTTGTATTAATATTATTACTTGTTCGTGACTTTCCAGTGGATTTAAGTCACAAAGAAAACCATTTACTTGTTGGAATTCTTAACAAAGCCTCTTATATTTTTTCTGCTCTCTGCAGAGTTTCTAAACAGATTGATGAAGAAGACGTGAAATAAAGAGAATGAGTGCAAGAAGCAAATGAAGAGGACAACAGTGATACAGGATCAGTAGTATAGTTTTATATTTGACAAAACATGAATTTAAAATCAACTTGTAATCTACAAGTTTTTTTCCCTCCACTAGATGGCAGTACAATAAAACAAAAACAATTGTCTTTGAGACGCCTTCATTTCAATGAGAGTAAAACAGTTATAAAATATTATAAATTGTAACACAAATATTAGAAAGTACAGTATGTGAAGTGCATCTTCAACAGTGGTTAATCAATTATGGCTACATAGCCAAACCTATTAAAATATATATAGATATATTAATACACACCCAGTAAATGTTTGAAAGGCAGAAGACACTTATGGTTTGTTTCCTTTACTGAGTGCTGCAGATTGCTGTGTTATTACCTGTAAGTGCTTTGGGCTGTGGTTGCTGAGTTTGCATCATCTGTTTCTGGTTGTAGGGCAGAGGTGTCAAGGTGTAACTTTTAAGAAGCTCAGAGGCTTATTGGATATGGGTCAGCACATCTCTCTCGTTGTCCTCCTCTCTCTCTCTCTCTCTCTCTCTCTCTCTCTCTCTCTCTCTCTCTCTCTCTCTCTCTCTCTCTCTCTCTCTCTCTCTCTCTCTCTCTCTCTCTCTCACACACACACTCTCACTGCACAAATCACCAGAAAATCTCTACAGTAACCTGAAGGCAAACGTACACAGGCCTAGATCGATGCCCAGGTGCATTAAGCTCCTCAAGCAAATCAGAAATCCCAAAAGTCACATGATCAATCAGAAAGTCAAGACTTATGCAAGCTTTTCACAGCAAATGTTTCTCCAATGTGAAACAATGATGTAATACTGATCACACAGTAAAACAGCATTCGTCCTGTAAATGTGTGTCCTTACCTGTGCTCGTATATCTCTGTAAACCATAAACATTATGCTAATAGTCTAAATGAGCTCAGAGAGACCTCAGATGTGTTCTCAAAACACAAGGTTTAACTGACGCAGGCAAATGTAAGAGAACCCTAGGGATCGTCCAAGGGAGCGCCCTTCGTTAACTTTAATTACCCAATACACCTTGTGCAAATTCAATTGAAGTGGGCCTATCACACCTACACCAAACAAATGCCTAATTACACTGCATAAACACTCATATGTCATGGGGTTTCCATGGAGAGAGGTGGAAATGGGCTGCTGAGACCTTGCTCAACCTTAAATATGAACTTTAAATATGAAAGATAAGAGCTAAAAAAAATAAAGAAAATGCAAAAAAATTGTAGAAATTGTAAATCTTGAAAAAAGAAATAGTAGTTTGGCATAAAGTTTAATTTTTGTTTCTTTAAAAAATTAGCAGTGCAATATGTTTTGTAATATAAATATTAGAAGCTTTTGTCTTCCAAATCAAGCCATTGTCATGCTTGTCATGACAATGCTTTCCCAAAAAACATGAAGAAAAACAATTCAGACCCTCAACAAGACTGTCAAGTGTGTGTGTGTGTGTGTGTGTGTTTATATATATATATATATATATATATATATATATATATACATTTTACCATAATGATCTGATATATATATATATATATATATATATATATATATATATATATATATATAATAATTAATAATCATTTGTTACATTTATATAGCACTTTTCTGGGTACTCAAAGCGCTTTACATTGAAGGGGGAATCTCCTCAACCACCACCAATGTGCAGCATCCACCACGATGGCAGCCATGTTGCACCAGAACGCCCACCACACACCAGCTTACTGGTGGAGAGGAGACAGAGGGCTATATATATGTATATATATATATATATATATATATATATATATATATGCCATGGTATTATATATATGCCATGGCCCCTATATATATATATATATATGCCATGGTATTCATAAATAATGATAATAACAGTGATGGTGGACATAAATAATTCAAGGCATGTTTTTAATAATTAAAACATTTTTGAAAACTTATTTGAACATAATTTATTGTTTTGAACAATACAATTCTTATTACTTTTTTTATTGTTACTATTCACATATTTTCCAAAATCCTTACACTTACACTAGTTTTTAAACGATTTCTACATTTTACCCCGAATATAAAACATAAATTAATGTAAAATAAAATGTAGGCCTATAATGTTGAAAATCACTTAGTAGCCTATGGCGTTATATGATTGGTTCAGTGCACTAATTATTCTTTTCGGCGCATCAATATGTCTTCGTCTTCTTTAACGCTTGTGATGACTGTACACCATGTGCATTAACAACAATGTTTTATATTTCCTCAATTTTTCTTATAAAGGTAACTAAACTAATTGATTTCATGGCTAGCTCAGTCAGTAAAGGTGGCGGGTCTGAAGCGTTAACGTCTGCAATCCTCTTATTTTGTCCCTGACCAAGTATGGATTAGATTCATCCGCGGGTCACTTTCAAAGGACTTTCATTGAACAGAGAAACATCTAGGCCTTTTGATATTTTCAAGGAGATTTGTATCGAATATCGCTTTCCATTTTATTTAACTATAAAATGTATTTGTTGTTTTTTAAAATCGTCAACGATTCTAGGAACCTGCGATATAACGAAACTAAGGTAAATAATTTAGCCCAAATTGACAACACTATCGAGAATTTTTGTACAGCAATATTTATAACAGTGAAGCTGGAAAATGTCGCTGAACGTTAGGTGTGAATTGTGAAGGTGCAAAAGAACACCTTTATTGATGACTGCAGGCATTAAGTAGCTCTCCAGGGTGCTTAAGTGGAATCTCTCAACGCCACTGACAAGCCTCATCAAACTGTTGTTTGTGAGCTGAGGTCTGCTCACATTTATTTATGCCCATGGACGACTGTTGCTGGATAACCATCGTGAAAGTTGACCGTGTAACTCTATGAAGGATATAAATCTACTTCATGAAAGAAACCACTGGAAGAAAAAGTTAATACTTTGTGGAAATGTTTTCATGCATCAAGAGGCCTATATGAATAATGGTAAGTTCAATTTCTAAATGATATTTTATTTAGCAATGTGTTTTATTTTGTGCACTTGCATAAATGTAAGTGGAGATAAATTTGGAATTACATTTTTTTTGCATTTCTAGTGTATGAAGCTTTTAAGAAAACAATACAACAATAACCTAAGAAAATATGATAATACTATGTAAAAAACGTATTTATGCCAAAACAAAAAATGTTCTCTGTCAAAAACATTCTATATCCACTATGTTCTAAACGTTTAGTTTCAACTTGATTTTCAGAAGTAATTACATTTAGAGTGGGCAAATGATCGTATCACTTCTGGTCGTAGATTTGGCTTTGAATTTTTAAAATAAATAAAAACTTTACCTTAAGTTTTCAATTTTAGTGAGTTGAAATGTTTACATTGTGTAGAAAATATACAGCCCAGCTATTATGTGACAGATAAGTCTTGTTTAGCCTTGAAAATGGTGCTAAAAGTGTGCTGTGACTCCAGTTCATATCTAATCTGCTGATTTCCAGGTGTCTCTTTGTGACGTCCATCTCTCATAACGGCTTCTAAAGGAGGACAATGCGACATATTCACCTCCCATTTGGAGGTGCTTTATGGGAGTTATCCAGTTACCCCCGCTGCCCCGTCCTCAGGAGCAGACATAGCCTCTCAACACTTCCATTTTACAGCATTACACTATGGATCATTCTTGGTGTGTTGACGTTCCCATGCTGTGTCCAATGCCTGATTTTCAAAGTAGGAGTCCTGGGGCCTTGGAACTGTGACCCTTATTACTCTAAAGCACTTCCTTCCATTGCATCCAGACTGGCCGTTGGCCGGATAAACGAGGATTTTAGTTTAGACCTGGGCTGTACAATGGACTTTGTCATCCTTCAGGAAGCTTGCGAGACATCAAAAGCATTGACCTCATTTGTACAATATGAGAACGTAGTTGATGCGTTTGTAGGCCCTACAAATCCAGGATACTGCAATGCCGCTTCGCTCATGGGCAAGAATTGGGACAAGTCTATATTTTCATGGGCGTGCATTAACTATGAGTTAGACCGGGTCCAGGGCTACCCAACATTTGCCCGGACTTTACCATCTCCGACGCGGGTGCTTTATAAGGTGCTTAAGTATTTCAGCTGGGCTAACATAGGCATCGTGTCTTCTAATGAGGATATATGGATCGACACGGCTGCCAAATTGGCTAGTGCTCTCAGAAACCAGGGCCTTCCTGTTGGCATTGTTGCGTCCATGGGGAATAATGACACTATGTTGGAGAACACGTTGATGAGCATTCAAAACGCAGGGGAGATAAAAGGTAAAGTGTTTTGGACCCATAGATTTGCATTGTTAGCATAAACATTCATTTTAGGGGAGGAGAGGACAAGGCTATTTGCCACACATTTTACAATGATTTCTCAGGGTTGTGTGTGAGACTTTTTAAGATGACATGTTTAAACACTAAAACACTAAAACAATAATGTAATTGTTTTACAAACCATTGTTTTAACCAATAAATATTGTGATTAATAAATAGGAACCTTTTAACATTTAAAACACATGACAACTCTTCCTGGTCAACCTTTCATTAATTTTTTTTAAATGTCTTTATAATACATATAAATACTATATAAAATATATATAAATATAACTATGCTATATATATATATACAGTATATATATACACTCACCGGCCACTTTATTAGGTACACCTGTCCAACTGCTCGTTAACACTTAATTTCTAAGCAGCCAATCACATGGCGGCAACTCAGTGCATTTAGGCATGTAGACATGGTCAAGACAATCTCCTGCAGTTCAAACCGAGCATCAGTATGGGGAAGAAAGGTGATTTGAGTGACTTTGAACGTGGCATGATTGTTGGTGCCAGAAGGGCTGGTCTGAGTATTTCAGAAACTGCTAATCTACTGGGATTTTCACGCACAACCATCTCTAGGGTTTACAGAGAATGGTCCGAAAAAGAAAAAACATCCAGTGAGCGGCAGTTCTGTGGGCGGAAATGCCTTGTTGATGCCAGAGGTCAGAGGAGAATGGCCAGACTGGTTCGAGCTGATAGAAGGGCAACAGTGACTGAAATAACCACTCGTTACAACCGAGGTATGCAGCAAAGCATTTGTGAAGCCACAACACGCACAACCTTGATGCGGATGGGCTACAACAGCAGAAGACTCCACCGGGTACCACTCATCTCCACTACAAATAGGAAAAAGAGGCTACAATTTGCAAGAGCTCACCAAAATTGAACAGTTGAAGACTGGAAAAATGTTGCCTGGTCTGATGAGTCTCGATTTCTGTTGAGACATTCAGATGTTAGAGTCAGAATTTGGCGTAAACAGAATGAGAACATGGAACCATCATGCCTTGTTACCACTGTGCAGGCTGGTGGTGGTGGTGTAATGGTGTGGGGGATGTTTTCCTGGCACACTTTAGGCCCCTTAGTGCCAATTGGGCATCGTTTAAATGCCACGGCCTACCTGAGCATTGTTTCTGACCATGTCCATCCCTTTATGGCCACCATGTACCCATCCTCTGATGGCTACTTCCACCATGTCACAAAGCTCTAATCATTTCAAATTGGTTTCTTGAACATGACAATGAGTTCACTGTACTAAAATGGCCTCCACAGTCACCAGATCTCAACCCAATAGAGCATCTTTGGGATGTGGTGGAACGGGAGATTCGCATCATGGATGTGCAGCCGACAAATCTGCGGCAACTGTGTGATGCCATCATGTCAATATGGACCAAACTCCCTGAGGAATGCTTCCAGCACCTTGTTGAATCTATGCCACGAAGAATTGAGGCAGTTCTGAAGGCAAAAGGGGGTCCAACCCGTTACTAGCATGGGGTACCTAATAAAGTGGCCGGTGAGTGTATATATAGCATAGTTATATTTATATAAATATAATTCTTTTAAAATTATAACTTTACTGTGGTTTTATTGTCTACTTTAAGGATTTGTATATGTACAGGTAATTGGAACAAAAAATATTTTAGGAAGAGAGAGAGAACTAGGTGTTTAAAACTAACATACAATATCACTGCTTACAAAAAAACACAAAACAAGCATAGTTGTAATTGGACTTTTCACTAAAAATCCTATAGTTAATGAAATACAGCGCATGTGACAACTAGCCCCGGTGTCCCCTATATACACTGAACAAAATGATAAACGCAACACTTTTGTTTTTGCCACTGTTTTTCATGAGCTGAACTCAAAGATCTAAGACTTTTTCTATGAGCAAAAGGCCTATTTCTCTCAAATATGCTTCACAAATCTGTCTAAATCTGTGTTAGTGAGCACTTCACCGCATAATCCATCCACCTCACAGATGTGGCATATCAAGATGCTGATTAGACAGCATGATTATTGCACAGGTGTGCCTTAGGCTGGCCACAATAAAAGGCCACTCTAAAATGTGCAGTTTTACTGTATTGGGGGGGTCCGAAAACCAGTCAGTATCTTGTGTGACCACCATTTGCCTCACGCAGTGCAACACATCTCCTTCGCATAGAGCTGATCAGGTTGTTGATTGTGGCCTGTGGAATGTTGGTCCTCTTCAATGGCTGTGCGAAGCTGCTGGATATTGGCAGGACCTGGAACACGCTGTCGTATACGCCGATCCAGAGCATCCCAAACACATTCATTCATGCTGACTGCAGGAATGTCCACCAGAGCTGTGGCCCGTGAATTGAATGTTCATTTCTCTACCATAAGCCGTCTCCAAAGGCGTTTCAGAGAATTTGGCAGTACATCCAACCGGCCTCACAACCGCAGACCACGTGCAACCACACAAGCCCATGACCTCCACATCCAGCATCTTCACCTCCAAGATCGTCTGAGACCAGCCACCCGGACAGCTGCTGCAACAATCGGTTTGCATAACCAAAGAATTTCTGCACAAACTGTCAGAAACCGTCTCAGGGAACCTCATCTGCATGCTCGTCGTCCTTATCAGGGTCTCGACCTGACTGCAGTTCGTCGTCGTAACCGACTTGAGTGGGCAAATGCTCACATTCGATGGCGGCTGCCATTTTGGAGAGGTGTTCTCTTCACGGATGAATCCCGGTTTTCACTGTACAGGGCAGATGGCAGACAGCGTGCATGGCGTCGTGTGGGTGAGCGGTTTGCTGATGTCAACGTTGTGGATCGAGTGGCCCATGGTGGCGGTGGGGTTATGGTATGGGCAGGCATTGGTATGGGCAGGCATTTTGAATGCACAGAAATACCGTGACGAGATCCTGGAGCCCATTGTTGTGCCATTGATCGACGACCATCTCCTCATGTTGCAGCATGATAATGCACGGCCCCAGATGTTGCAAGGATCTGTACACAATTCCTGGAAGCTGAAAACATCCCAGTTCTTGCATGGCCAGCATACTCACCGGACATGTCACCCATGATATATTTGATATACATGATACCCCCCCATTACAGTAAAACAGCACATTTTAGAGTGGCCTTTTATTGTGGCCAGCCTAAGGCACACCTGTGCAATAATCATGCTGTCTAATCAGCACCTTGATATGCCACACCTGTGAGGTGGATGGATTATCTCGGCAAAGGAGAAGTGCTCACTAACACAGATTTAGACAGATTTTTGAGAGAATATTTGAGAGAAATAGGCCTTTTGTGTACATAGAAAAAGTCTTAGATCTTTGAGTTCAGCTCATGAAAAATGGGGCCAAAACCAAAAGTGTTGCGTTTATAATTTTGTTCAGTGTAGTATGATTAAACAGAAGACAGCTTAAAGTTTATTTAATCTCTCATCATTTTCACTTTCTTTTCATAGAATTGTCAAAAGATTTATCTTCAACAAAAAAACGAAACATACAACAAAAACATGCATTTATTCATACATGTGTAAGAGCATGCACTACATTTGTTACTCAATTAACGATATTTATGTGAAATGAATGTATGTGAAATTTTCCAGTGCACACTGACTGAAGGTTTGTCTTCAATTGTCAAATTATAAGTTTCGGATCATGGCCCTTTTAGAATTTAAATAAAGCATTTTATATTAAGATAAAACCTACTGCTCATACCGTATATTAGTCCTAAATGCTTTTACAATTCAACATGAATTAATGTTTTTATGTATGTTTCAGTCATCATTATGTGCATGCATTCAGTGCTCATTGGAGGAGAGCAACAATCTTCTTTCCTGATGAAGGCCTATGACATGGGATTGACAAATGGTCGATATGTGTTTATACCGTACGACACCCTCCAGTACAGCCTACCCTACACCAACACAACCTACTTCCCACTGCAAAACAACACCAAACTGCGCAAAGCCTATGACGCTGTACTCACCGTCACTGTGGAGTCAGATCTGATGTCATTCAACGAAGCGTTCAATATGGCCAAACGACTTGGAGAGCTGATAGTGTCACAAGAGCCAGAGCAGGTGCGGGTGGTGCACTTTGACACATTATGAATCTTATTTGTACTCTCAAAAGCTTGATTAAAATCCTCTGCTACATTTCAGGTCTCTCCTCTCTTTGGTACAATCTACAACAGTTTGTACCTGTTTGCCAAGTCCATGCACAATGCCAGAAGAGCAGGTAAGTGGTTCTCCGGGTCCAACCTGGCCTTCTTCACGAGGAACATCACATTTTCGGGGTTCAACCAGAACATCCGCACAGACACCCAAGGAAACGGGCAGACCAACTACGTGATCCTGGATACTGATGGCTGGGGAACTCAACTGTATCGTTGTTTTCAAGTAGACCTGACTTCGGACATGGTGCTGTTTGCTGGCAAGTCCATTAATTTCCCTGGAGGTTCACCTCCACCTTCAGACTCCAGCTGCTGGTTTGATCCCAATGCCATCTGCACAGGAGGTACGACAGACCCACACAATGTTGATCGATGAGAAACAGATATTTGACTTTTGATTGTGCAATTGTTTCTTCTTAAAAGTCACACTCATTTCACTCAGCTTGTATATGTGTGTCATAGTTACATTAGGTGTTGTGTATAATGCTTTTTAAGCAAATTGGTATTTTTATGCTCAATATTTTTTAGTAAATGATCAATATTAAAAACTATTATAATTATTCAAAGTCAAATAATTGTAAGAAATATAAATCAATATTTTATGCTAAAAATACCAAAATGCAAATATGCTAAATGTCGTTTAGTAAATGATAAATTTTATTATTACTATTTTTTTAAATTAATTTTAAGGAATGATTAATTTAAAATTAATAAATAAAATTAAACCGTAATATTTTATTTTAATCTTGCTAACAAATATATTATTGCTGTTTTAAATGATTATCGTTAACTGGTGCATATAATTGTATGTATTATGTGTAACTGCTATCAACATGGTAAATCATGGTAAATAACGCCAGAAACATGGTAAATCATAGTAAATAAGGTAAATCATGCTAGAATCCTGGTAAATCATTCTAGAATGTGCTATATCATGTTAAATCATCATAAAACATGGTAAATCAAGGTAAACTAAGATAAATCATGCTAGATTCATGGTAAATCATACTGGAACATGGTAAATCATGAAAAGTCACACTGAAATGTGGTATATCATGGTAAATCATGCTAAAACATGGTCTATTCCATCTATGATGTCAGTGGTTAAATGCTTGCTACATAAAACTTAATGTCTTTTGATGCTTTTGTGCTTAACGGCCTTAAAGGCCTTAACTGCTTGAACACCGCTAAATGCTGCTAGCAGCTTTAATTATTATTATTATTATTAAAAGATAAATAAATCAATTTAAAAAATAAAATAAAATAAAACAGTCTCCTTTTCACTTGTAATCAATGGCATTGTTTTTATATGTCCACTGTTAACTGATGCATACTGATTTATATGTAATTTGAAACTTATATTCTATGTGTTTGTCAGCTAATTGATTCTCTTGTGTTTTAGGTGTGGAATTAATATACGTCATCATAGCGTTTGTGACAGTCTTCATTATAGTTCTTGGTTGTATTGGCCTAACTCTATTCATAAGGTAATTTTGCTGTGATTTTAACAGAACCTATGATTTGTTTCATTTTATGAATATATTGAAGGTACAAAAAGTTGTACCTGATCTTGTCTGATCTTTGTAGGAGGCGAATTCAACAAATCCAGCTGATCAAAGGGCCCAACAGAATCCTGCTTACGCTTGAGGACCTGACCTTCATCAACCCGCAGCTGAGCAAGAGGGTACGCGTCACCTCATCAGCTGCCTTCCTTAAGCATTAAGGGCGTTTTTCTGAAAATGTTATACTATATTTTCTACATTTATTATGCACTCTTTGCTCACAGAAAATCACCCTTGAGGATCTTAGCGATTCAAAAAGTTACATTGAGGAGAAGAGCACAGGTGGCCGGTCCCGCTCTGTGAACAGCATGGCAACGGCAACACATGAAACTTCGAACGTGGCCGTCTATGAGGTGACTTTTTATGTGTCATTTAATTTTATTTATTGAACACACCATGTCTTTTTATCTTGACCAAATTTTTTAACTTTCCTGTAGCTCAAACAGTACGCTAGCAACTTCAAGGTCAAGTGTTCGATTCCCATGGAAAGCAAGAACTGATTAAATGTTAATGTGTACCTTTAAGGGATAGTTCACCCAAAAAAGAATTTGTTGTCATTACTCAAGTTGTTCTAAACCAGAGTTTCTCAAAGATATTTGAAGAATGTGGGTCCCCATTGACTTCTATAGTATTTTTTTTCATACAATGGAAGTCAATGGGGACCAGCAACTGTTTGATTACCCACATTCTTCAAAATATCTACTTTTGTGTTCAACAGAAGAAATAAACTCCTACAGGTTTAGAACAACTTGAGGGTGAGAAAATAAAAATGATGAATTTTTTTTATTTTTGGGCGAACTCTCTCTTTAAATGCAATGAAAGTTGCTTTGGATAAAAGTGTCTGCCAAATGTAAATGTAAGTCGTTTTGATCTTTGCAGGGCGACTGGGTATGGCTAAAAAAGTTTAAGGAAGGACATTTCAAGGAGGTCAAACAGAGCACCACTAATATTTTCACCAAGGTATTGGCTCTAAACCTTTCATTTAAAACTAACAGTTTGGTATGAGCTTGTTCTTTGAGTGACGGTTCCTATCATATTCATAATTCCCAGATGAGGGACCTACGGAATGAAAATGTCAATCCGTTTTTGGGGTTCTTCACTGATTGTGAGATGTTTGCCATCGTCACTGAACACTGTTCTCGGGGGAGTCTACATGACCTCCTTCGAAATGAAGATGTCAAACTGGACTGGATGTTTAAATCCTCTTTATTGCTGGATCTCATCAAGGTACTTTTGAATGTTATGATATTATGAAAATGTGAACTAATAACCTTCAGATCATTTTTCAAATCCATTCTGCACTTTCAATATAATATCTGTCTTTTGTCGGCATTATAATCGGATGGTTTCTGTTACCCATCCAATAGGGCATGAAATATCTTCACCACAGGGAATTTCCTCACGGGCACCTGAAGTCTCGTAATTGTGTAGTTGATGGACGTTTTGTCTTAAAGATCACTGATTATGGTTACAATGAGATTCTTGAGTCCCAGAAAGCTCCAAAGGAGACCCCACCTCCAGAGGGTATGGGTATTTATTTTTTAAAGAAAAGACTTATTTACAATGCAAATCTCACTTTTATTCCATCCAATTTCCTGATATTGAAAAAAAGACATAATAAGGCAATTCTTTGTCTTTCAGAACTATTCTGGACAGCTCCTGAATTTCTCAGAGATCTGGAAAGTCCACGGAAAGGAACATGTAAAGGAGATGTGTACAGCTTCGCGATTATACTTCAGGAAGTAGTCGTCAGAGGAGCGCCGTACTGTATGCTGGGCTTGACTCCTGAAGGTTGGTTGTAAATAAATTGTACTTAGTAGTTGTTCTTACAGAATTAGTTGAACTGGTAAACAAGGCTGTGATAACAGAAACTGGGCAGGTATTATCAGTGACATGTTTATTGCATCAACAGAGATAATAAGGAAGGTGAAGAAACCTCCGCCTATGTGCAGGCCCACTGTAGCTCCAGATCAAGCTCCACTGGAATGCATCCAGTTAATGAAGCAGTGCTGGTGTGAACAGCCTGATAGAAGGCCTACTTTTGATCAGATCTTTGATCAGGTGAGCTTTGAGTGCATTGGATAACAGAATTAAAAGCCGTAGGATCTAAAGAACGTAGATTTTTAAATGCTGGCTTACTTTGTATAATGATTCTACAAAATATGAATTAATTCATATATATATATATTATTTTAATTTATTATTTTATTGTAATAATTATTGCTTTTATATTTGTTATTACATTGCTTTATTTCATGTTATTTTATTATTATTTTTATTTTCATATTTAAAAATTTCAGTAAGGATGCATTCAATGGATCATAAACTAAATGTAGTTCTTGCGAACTATTCATCAAAAAAGTACAAAATAAATACAAAATTCACGGGTTTCCACAAAAAACATAATAAGAAATGCCTTCAGCACCCAATCAGCATATTAGAATGATATCTGAAGGATCATGTGACGCTGAAGACTGCAGTAACGATGCTGAAGATTCAGCTTTGCATCATAGGAATATATTAAAATAGAAAACAGTTATTTTAAAGTGTAATAATATCTCACAATATTGCTGTTTTTACTGTATTTTTGATGAAATAAACCCTTGGTGAGCATAAGAGACTTCTTTCAAGCACATTTTGAAAAAAATCTTACAGACCCCAAACTTTTGAATGGTATAGTGTATTTATATATTCTATTTCTAATATGACAACATGCATGGATAGCAGTATTTCCAGATTTCATGAACATTACAAATAAAGACACTTTAATTAAAGTTTCTTGGCATATGTCTAAAAGACAACTACATCTAATGATTTTTTTAAATTCACTCATAATGCATCTTAATGGTCTGTTCTCAGTTCAAGCTCATCAACAAGGGCAAAAAGACCAATATTATTGACTCCATGTTGCGTATGCTGGAGCAGTACTCCTCTAACCTGGAGGACCTGATCAGGGAAAGAACAGAAGAGCTGGAGGTAGAGAAACAGAGGACTGAGAAGCTTCTGGCTGAGATGCTTCCTCCGTGAGTGTTTTCATTCTCCGGCACACTTCTCAAGTAAGACATGTTCCTGGATCAACAATCTTTCTATGTCAGATTAAACTTCTTTTATATTTTCATTCAGTTCTGTGGCAGAAGCTCTGAAAACCGGTGCCTCTGTGGAGCCAGAGTACTTTGACCAAGTCACTATCTACTTCAGTGACATTGTAGGCTTCACAACCATCTCATCCCTTAGTGATCCAATTGAGGTTGTAGATCTGCTCAATGACCTTTACTCCCTATTTGATGCTGTGCTGGGCAGCCACGATGTCTACAAGGTAAGCTTGGTTCAGGGTTATTACAGGGTTATTACTTACAGTTATTTTTGGAAATTGGCGACAAATGCCTTCGATAGTTTAATAGTATCTCAATGATACTAAAATAACACTGGCTTGGATGTCCAGGACAACATGCCGATCGATTTCCATGAAAAGCCATTTAACTCTTCTTCATCACAGGTTGAAACCATTGGAGATGCCTACATGGTGGCCTCCGGGCTGCCGAAGAAGAACGGCAACAAGCACGCAGCCGAGATCGCCAACATGTCCCTGAATATTCTCAGCTCCGTGGGATCCTTCAAGATGCGGCACATGCCAGAAGTTCCAGTCAGGATACGGATCGGCATTCACTCAGGTTAGCCTGTCAATCTCCAGCTGTTTTTATCCGCTTAGTGGCAATGTTATGAAAAAGCTCTTGTAATGCTCATGTAATCTTTTTGACAGATTACATTTCATTGTCCAAATATGTAGTTATAAAATATTGCATCCTTTATCTTATCCTGTTTCTTCTCTATCCAGGGTCGTGTGTTGCTGGAGTCGTGGGTCTAACTATGCCTAGATACTGCCTTTTTGGAGACACAGTCAACACCGCCTCTCGTATGGAATCTACAGGGTTGCGTATGTTCCATTCAGATATTTTTCTTTACAGATGTGATATACTAACCCTGCACTGTAATGAGAAGATCGGTCAATAAACATCATTTCCATCAGCTTACAGAATTCATGTGAACATTAGTACAGTGAAGATTCTCCACTCACTGAACGATGGCTACAAAATAGAAGTTCGAGGAAAGACTGAGCTGAAGGTACAAAAACAAACGCTTTTAATAATCATAATTAATTCAATTATATTTGAACAAAATAATAACATGCACTACTGTTAATAAGTACGGGGTCAGTTTGATTTTCTTTTTTTAGAAATTAATAATTTTATTCAGCAAGGATGCATAAAATTGATCAAACGTGACTGTAAAGACATTTATAATCTAACAAAATATTTCTATTTCAAATAAATGCTGTTTTTAAAGAATCTATTTTCAACATTGATAATAATACGAAATGTTTCTTGAGCAGCAAATCAGCATATTAGAATGATTTCTGCAGGATCATGTGACACAGAAGACTGGAGTAATGATGCTGACAATTCAGCTTTGGCATCACAGGAATTTACAGGAAAACAATTTTATCAAACTGTTATTTTTAAATTGTAAAATGAATATTTTAAATTGCTTTCAGGAACATTAAACTGACCCCAAACATTTAAATGGTAGTGCAAGCATTAACTTACTGTGGATAATTTGAGCTTTTTAAATTAATTTGTATGGATTTTATTAGGGGAAAGGCATTGAAGAGACATACTGGCTTGTTGGAAAATCTAATTTTACTAATCCTTTGCCAAAACCACCAGAGATCAAACCAGGGTAAGATTTGAATAATATTTAACCATTTATTTTACTTTTTTTTTTTTTCCTACAATATTTTAAATAAACTTAGCATTTAAAATATTGTAAACATAGCCTATATACATGTATGTAAAGCAGTTTGGCCTTTGCATTATATTGCCCTTTATTTTACTCTTTCCAAATAAATTGTACTTTCTGATTAATTTCTGTGCTTTAGAATAATTCTCTTTGTACTTAATGGGATACTATTTACAAATGGGATAATTGGATTTATGCATCAGGGAAGACAACCATGGTTTGAGACCTGAGGACATTGAGGCTTACAGGAGAAGGAAAGCTGAGAAAAAGGCATGAGCCCATAACCAATTGCAAGGAGGTAGTACCTTGCATGCTGTGCTGTATGTGTCATGTGGTTAGGTTTACTTCTGGTGGGTTTGTGCCGTGATGGTGTTTAATGAGATTAATTGTGCTGGACTAATTGCATGTCCGTTTATTCGTGCATGCCGTGTATTTATTTTTTTCAGTTGTTGTGAAGTGCATTACTTACCAAAGTCCTAAAATGAATCTTCAGTTCTGTCTGTCGTTATCATTTATAACTTTCTACAATTTTCAATTCAATTTTCATCTTTTAGAGATAACTGGCAAGACATGGTTACGGAGGAGGTCAAGTCAATATTTCGCAAGGCCAACAGACAAGTGGACAATCCCAAAATCTGAGAAGCGCAAGGAAGGATGTTAAAACTGACGAAGAAGGAAAGGCACATGACAAGTCGCATGGGAGAGACACAAAGGACAATTCGAGCGTGTGTGTTTCAGTGCAGCTTACAAAGACTACTTTAATAGGATTGATTGTCGTCTGTCTAATCCGACTCTGCCCAGCACAGCAGAAACAACAGCGCTAATGAAATGGCAGCTGAGGAACAGGTAGTCAGTGAAAGTGTGTTTCTTTCCCAATGTCTAACACTTGCTCTGTTTTGGCCACAGAGTGGCCCCATATGCATCCCGTACCAAAGGCGAGTCCACGTTTTGGGGTTTTTTTTCACATGGTTTTGAGGTTTCACATGTTGTGTTTTCATCCATATGTTACTCATGGGGGAGCTTTAATTATTTTTCTTTGATCTTCTCTAACCAAAAAACAATGTAGTGACATAATCAGATTTGACGAAGCTTAGTGGACATCTGTTGCTAAGACCAAATGCGATATTCTAGCGATGTTTATGCAAAAGCCAAACTGACTGAGGTTGGTTGATACCAAGCAATTACAAATGTAAGGCTGCTGTAAGCTGTCTCTGGACTCATGAAAATTGTGAAACGTGACTGTGTGTATGCTGATTAAGAAGTTGCTTCAGAGATATTACAAAATGGAATGCAATAATTCTGTGAGTTCTGTTAATTTATGCAAAAATAATTATTTATACTATGCAGAATTATTCATTTTAGTTGCCATACATTTAGTAAACAGGGCAACTGCTTTTATTTGACGTATTAAATCAGTTTAATAAAGGGTCCTATCTCTCTCTCTCTGATAAAGCACTTGTGCTTGTATTGGATACACTGTAAAAAAAATCTGTAGAAATTACAGTATTACTGGCAGCTGCTTGCCAGTAACTTACTGTAGTTTTAAATTTATGTTATTTACTGGCAACAGTTTGTTCAAAGTTAAATGAACATTAAACATTAACAAGTCTTTATCTTTACAGAATAAAACTAAAATAACAGCCTGTTTTGCATTCTGGGAACCAAAATCTGAAGGAAAAAAAACAGAAAAAGGTTGATGAGGATTTCTGGTTCCCAGAATGCTTTGCATTAGATTGTTATTTTATAATTTTATTCTTTAAAGACAAAGACTTGTTAATGTTTAATGCTCATTTAACTTTGAACAAACTGTTGCCAGTAAATATACATCAATTTAAATCTACAGTAAGTTACTGGCAAACAGCTGCATAACTACAGCAATTTTTTTACAGTGTATAAAATGAAAAGTTTAAGTTTCTTTGCAGTTTAAGTTGTATTAAACATGTCTGGGTTTATCTGAGAGGGATTGACTGCCTTATAAGCTGTTTAAAATGATAACTTAAATGTCCTGTTAATCAAACGGTTTTATTTAGTTATTTTTTTTAGTTTTCCTTTTATATTCAAAATATTCACAAATTTGTTAACTATATCATGAACTATCTGATATTCTGATTCTCAAATATGTGTAAGTGAATGTGTTTTGTCATTTAAACACCTTTATAATGACCCTGTTAGTTGATCTATGCCTGATGGGAACCGCCATGTTAGTTTGCATCACAGTTCGGAGAATCGGATCTTAAGTTACAACAGTCGGATTTACAACACATAAATTCAACCACTTCTCCCAAAAGACATTAAAGTAAGTGACCGATAAACTGGGAGAAGGATAGAGTAAACTATAGTTACCTATACAATGTGTATATGATATGAATAAAACACGTTGTCAAATTATTATTGAAAGGATTATTATTGGCGCTTATTAGACATCAGTGTGTATTTAACAAACTTTAAATGTATTTTTGCTAGAATTCAGGCTGTTTATTTAAATGTCTGAAACCTAAAATAATCATTATGTGATTATTATGTTCGGCTCCAGCCGAAGCGCGAAAGCACGAATCATTTTCAGCACGCGAATGCCCATGGAGTCGCAACGGAGCCAGTGCCGCATCCACGCATTTTGTGAAATTGCAAGGTGACAAGGCTAGGCCAAAAGGAAGGGTAGCGAGGCTCTGCTTCTGTTGCTCTTGATGTGAGGAGCTGGTAGATGGCGAGAGATCTGAGAGCGGCGAGGAAGATGTCTCTCGAACACCGCCACTCGCTTTTTTGCCTCCTCAAAACCTCTCAACAACTTAGGTGACAGCATCGCCGAAGACCCCAAGAGGGGCAAGCAGGGCATCCTCATACCAGACACGTTTAGCCATAAATATCTCTCCGTAGCCACCAGGGCTGCCGTAGACCGGCTGACTGACTTGGCCGTCTCCTTGGTGGTTCGGAGAGATATATCTTAATGCGTCCTGGCCCACACCCTCGCCCTCATCATCAAGGTCTCTCAGCAGGTCATCCTGGTATGCCTGCAGAATGGACATGGTGTGCAGGCATGCTGGGGCCTGACCTGCCGCTGAATATGCTTTACACACCAAAGCCAAAGTTGTTCTGACCGACTTGGTGGGTAACGTCTGGGCCTTCAGGAATGATGCTGACTCAAGGGAGGAACGCATGATTTAAAATGGTGTTTGCTTGCCATTTTACAATCTTTCTATATAACTCCTGTCTACAAAGAAATGTATATGCTTGTGACAGACAAACACCAAATAGACAAGATGATATCACAGAGAGCGTGAATGGAAAGTCCTGATCCATGCTTGATTTGAATGAAACTTACAAAATTGAGCAGTCCCTAAAAACTGCTTCAGTCAGAATCAGAGCGGTGGTCTGATCTTCTCTTTTTCTGTTATCTGATCTCTGACCTGGCAGAAGTCTTCCTTCTTCTTTTAACGGCCTGTCTCATCTCAACCTGATTGCCTGAGCTTTGGTCAGCAGGTATTCTAGATTCTCCAGATCTGATCTCACTGTTATTTGCCCGATGAGAAGGTACAGGCTGTTCATCATCTCTGCTGGACTTATTCGTATGTGATCCTCCAGATCTGATCTCAGATCTGTTGTCAATCAGGTCATAATAATTCATTACATTTATAAAGCGCTTTTCTCAGCACTCAAAGCGCTTCACATAGAAGGGGGAATCTCCTCAATAACCTCCAGTGTGCAGCATCCAGCTGGATGATGCGACGGCAGCCATATTGCGCCAGAACGCCCACCACACACCAGCTTACTGGTGGAGAGGAGACAGTGATGAAGCCAATTGGTATATGGGGATGATTAGGAGGCCATGATGGACAGAGGCCACTGGGCAAATTTGGATTGTGACCACAGAGAGTCAGGGCCTCATAGGTCCATGTCCAGCTCACAAATGTCTCCACATGTTCTGCCGGTGGATTATTATACACAAAACGCAATGTTACCTTCTTCCAATTCAAAGTCACCTGATGCATCCAAAGTAAAGTTCCAGGAATCTGAATTCCAGGCCAGCATGGAGAGTAGTGGATTGCTTTCAGGACCAGGTGTCAATGGATACTGACCAAAAAGTTGTTCGAGAGTTTCTTGAAGCAACACTCGATACACACCGCTTTGTGCTGTGTGAATTTCTGGAAGGTCCCTCCAGACATGCTCATTTGCAAATGATACAATAAAAATATCATTGCCATTAGTTAACTGAAAAGTGAATATGAATTTGTTAGACATCTGAACTGGACACTAATCTACTGAAAAACAAACCGGTATTTGATCAGTACTCAGGTAACACAGATATCCTTTCTCAACTACTGCTGTTAAGAGCCCCTGAGGTGCATCAGCTCTATAGCTTCTGCTCAGAATGCTGCTGTGATGTCATCAGTGGAACACTGGACCAATCTAAGTATAAAAAACAATTTTTTTTTTTTTTTTTTTTTTTTTTACAGCTATGAATGTTCTAAGAACAGGTGTGGTAAAATGCCCCCATTCTGAAAAAAATTGTTTTATAGCCTACATTTACAGAAAAATCAAAGTAGCCTACAAGCAGTTTTAGCCTAAAATTAAAAAGACAAGCAAAAAAATAATAATATATATATATATATATTCCATGCACTCCCTAATTACATGCCTTACTATTCTCATATCATAACTGTTTATGTTCTGCAAAACAACAAGCTTTAAAACACTTTTTTTTTCTTACTACTGAAAATTAGATCGGCTACCCTGAAATCAGTTTTCTCTCAGGTATGTCGCCAGTGTAAGCTTCACAGTGAATAGGCTACTTCGTTCTACATCACTCTTGTCAACTTAGTCCATAGCAACAACAAAAACGTATATTGACTTTATCTATAGGTTATTTTGGGGAAAAGTATAGGGGGCGTTTTACCCCAACTCCCTACATGAATATCCATGTACTCATATCTGAATTAATAGTTACTTCAACATGAACTCATGATTAGTGAAGATATATCTAATCATGAACCAATGAAGAACTCCTTAACTACGATGCTGATGTTAGTAGCCTATAGTTCATGCATTAATTAACATTTAAGGGTAGCTAAACTGAATCAATCAGGCTCCATAAGAAGGAATAATAAATATGTTGACTTTGAAACGATAATTAGCGACTTCTAGTCATTTCAAGCAGTGACAGTCATATGAATTGTCTAACGTACCATTGGGATGCCCTGTACCCTGATAGGCCTACAGAAAAGTTGAAGTTGTTTTAGGTTATTATAGTATAGTTATGTCGTGATCGTGCGTCTGTCGTTCCATCATATTTTGATGAGAAAATTTTATTTTATAGCATTTATAATAACTAACAAAATGTTCGAGACAATCAGGACGTCTTGTCTGCATGCAGTTTTGTTGCTTACCACAAGATGTCCCTGTTACAAAGGTTTTTGCACTGTAGTCCTACAGTTAGCTCCCGTACATTTAGTAGGCTGGATATTCTCTTTAATCATACTATCCCTTAAAAAAGTTGCTTTCATTTATAAACTGCTGCATATTACATTAAGTCTGCAGCGTTATCCTGACAATGTTTACGCATTGGTTAATTATCGTGATCAAATCTCATCTTTGGCTATTTCTTTAACCTTTCCCGATTGGCCATATCACCATGAGAGCCCTTCACTCCAGCCTCTAACCCGTCCTTTGTATACGTCCACTCATTAACACATTCAGCCTACAGGATGGATCTGCTAGTGTGAAAGGAAGTAACTGATTTCCCACATCAAATGTGCTCTTTCTTTGTGGTTTATGGTGGTGCCATAAAGACAGCAGGCTGTCTGGGAAATCTGTGACTCTCAACAGGTGAGGAGGTGAGACAACAATTTAAGCCCTCAGTGGAATAAACACACAGATGAAGCTCCACATTCCAGCACACAAAGGAATTTGCCACATCAAACCAGGCGGAATGACTCGGATTAAACTATAAGGCTTGACAGAGCAATGACAATG